GTGAGCGACCGGATGTGGAGACCCAGAAGACGGAGCTCGGAGCCTTGATGGGGACCACGCTCCAGCGTGGGGCGCAGTGGTGAGCGTCCGGCCCGCCCCTCCACCGCGCAGAGCCTCAGGCCGGGCCGCTGGCCCTCGGGCCGTGCCCCTGTCCCCAGCTGTAGGTAGAGGCTGGCCGGGGGCGGCGCCTGGAGTGTTTGAAAGAGTTGGCTTGACAGCCGCCGCTGGTGAAAGAAAGCCCGAGATCAGCTGGGGCACTGCGCTGACCACACCGGGGTGTGTCTTGGCCCATTCGTATTCCCGAGGGTCTTGGGCCGGCGGGGACAAGGGATGTAGAATGTGGTAAAAGGGGAGTGCTCGGCTCGGCGGGGGCGGGAAGCTGGGGGAGCAGCGAACCACCGAAGACTTGGGCACTTGATGGTGACCTTGCGGGGAGGCGTCCACCCCTTACAGACCTCGGTTCCTTAACAATGAAGACGAGGGTAGCAATTTGTGGCTTATGGCGCTCAGCGGGTTGGGAGAAGATCAGAAGTAGACACTTTGTAACTTGTAAACTGCGGAACAGATTCAAGGCCAGAAGCTGAATGAATGTCTAAGGACCCAGATTGTCAGACGTCAGGAACAGTTGTGGCGGTAGCTAGATCTAGGAGTGGGAGACGAACAGAGCTTGAATCCTGGAGCAGAATGGAAGATTGAAAGTTCCAAGATTTTGCCAGGCATGGTGACATGCTTTACTGTTTTGTAGGGGCAGAAGAAGCTGGAGGCTTGCTGAAGTTTCAGGGCCAATCTCTTACATAGTGAGCATGACCCCTCCAGAAAAATCCGAGGTTTAGAAGATCAGATTTAAATATGAGGCGTTTTAATAGATTGTTTGCTAGAAGGGATAGTACTCACCAGAGAAATGACTGGGTGGTGCTACTGTGTAGGAGTCAAAAACTGGGGTAAGTTTTCCATTGAGGAAATGAAAAAGATAACAAATTTTGTGTGTGTTGGGGGGTGCCTTTCAGGTGTAGTTGTGTTGTTATATTGAGCTAGTGAAAAGCCAAGTAGAGGCACTTTAGAAATTATTCTGCAAGGGATGACACATTGAAGAATTCTCAGCTTGGCATGGAACTCCACGCCTGTAATCTTAGCACTGCTGTTAAGTTTCTGGGCCAGCCCGAGTGACATAGTAAAGCTCTGTCTCAAAGAAATAAATAATCAAAGAAATAAATAACTAAAGGTGGTTGTGGGGAATGTACTTAATAACTTAGTAAGCATAATTTTACTTATACAAAGTTTATATTAAATGATTGCTGATAGGCTGGAGAGGTGGCTCAGCAATTAAGAACTCATTGTTCTTGCAGAGGGGCCTGGAATTTGAATCCCAGCACCCATGTTGGGTGGCTCACAGCTGTCTATAACTCAAGTTCTAGGGATATCTGGCTTCTCTGGCCTTCATGGGCACCTGCACTCATGCACATATACAAGGGCATAATTCAAATTAAATCCTCATTGGGTATAGTGGCATATAACTTTAATCCCAGCATTTAGGAGGCAGAGGCAGGTGGATCTCTGATTTCCAGGCTAGCCTGGTCTTCAGAGTAAGTTCTAGGACAGTCAGGACTATACAGAGAAACCCTGTCTCAAATTTTTAAAAAAAGTGTGATTTTAGTGGGAATTGCACATTACCTTGGTGAAAAGACCATAAAAACTTAAGGTAGGTGTCTAGAGAGCAAAATTAAAGAAGAACTGTAGAAACTTAAAACTTTGGCTTTTTTTTTTTTTGCTATATTTTATATGAAACTATTATTTCTCTCTAGGTATCTTATTGACAGCCGGTGGTTCAAGCAGTGGAAGAAATATGTGGGCTTTGACAGCTGGGATATGTACAATGTGGGTGAACATAATCTGTTTCCTGGACCCATTGACAACTCTGGACTCTTTTCAGGTGCAGTATCCTAAATTTTCTAGCTGTGTGTTCACATGGGACATAGTCGGAGATGGTGTGTATCTGTACCATGGACACCATGAACATATAGCTCTCATAATATGAAGAGACCGAAAATGCTGTTTACGTCTGTAGTCGAAGTCTTTGCAGATTATTAGAGAGAAGCACCTTTTCTCTAAATAACTGCTTCTAACAATAAGAGCATGCTTTGTGTTTTACTGTTGTGTTGATGTGAAGAGACACTGTGACCAAGGCAGCTTATAAAAGGAGTCATTTAATTGGGGGCAGGCTTACAGTTTCAAAGGGCTAACCCATGGCTATCAAGGTGCGAAGTGTGGTGACAGGCAGGGGGGTGTGGTGGTGGTGAAGTAGCTGAGAACTTTACGTCCTGATCAGCAGGTAGAGAGAGACTGTCAGGAACCAAAGATTTAGACATATGAACCTATAGGGCTGATTTTCATTCAGACTGCCAAACTTTATAACATTTAAGCCTTCTTTTTTTTTTTTTTTTTTTTTGAAGCAGTTTCTTTATGTGGCTTTAGAGCCTGTCCTGGAATTCATGCTGTAGAACAGGCTGGCCTGGAACTCACAGAGATCCCTCTGCCTCTGATTCTAGAGTTCTGGGATTGAAGACATGTGCCACCTGCTCTGCCATTTAAGCTTTTTTAAACATTGTTACTTTATTGTATGTGTTACACTTGTATGACATGTGTATGTTAAGGCCAGAAGACAATTTTATGCAGTTGGGTCTTAGGTTGTCAGGCTTTTTACACAAACAGAGCTAAAGACATCTTGCCTGCCCACTTGGTAACATTTTGCCTTTATCTCTATTTATTTATTTATTTTTGGTCTTTGAGTCAGGGTTTTTCTGTGAAACAGTCCTGGCTGTCCTGGAATGTTCTTTGTAGACCAGGTTGGCTTTAAACGCACAGAGATGTGACTGCCTCTGCTCCTGAGTGCTGAGACTAAAGGTCTGTGCCACCACTGCTTATTTTTATTCAATTTAATTAATTTATTTTTTAGTTTTTCGAGGCAGGGTTTCTCTTTGGCTGTCCTGGAACTAGCTGTTGTAGACCAGGCTGGCCTTGAACTCACAGAGATTCGCCTGCCTCTGCCTCCCTGAGTGCTGGGATCAAAGGCGTGCGCCACCATCGCCTGACTGTAACTATATTCTTATTTTTGTTTTACAGACAGGGTTTTGCTATGTTCATTGTCTGGCCTCAAACTTGGTATGTAGCCCAGGCTGGCCTCAGAATCATTGCCTTCCTTCCTGCCTTAGCCTCCCAAGTGCTGGAATTAAAGTTTTGTGCCATTGAATCTGGCTTTCAGATTTTTAATTTGTGTTATATTTTTTAGGGTAAAGTTTTGTCTGTGTATGTGTGAGGCAGGGTGTGTGTGTGTGTGTGCTTGGTATAATGCACTGTGGGGGTTAAGAAGTTTCCTCCCATTTGTAGGTTATGGGATCAAACAGGTTGTTAGGCTTGGTAGCATGTCTGTCTGCTGAGTGGTCTCACCCGCCCTTTGTCTTTTGTTTGTTTGTTTTTCTTTTTTTTTATATTTATTTTTTATTAGTTCAAATTAGGAACAAGCTTGCTTCACATGTCAATCACACCCCCCCCCCCCAGTTTGTTTGTTTTTCAAGATGGGACTTTATTAGGTTGACTTCAAACTTGTGATCCTCTTTGTCTGAAGTTCTAGGATTACAGGTGTGTTCCACCTTGATGGCTATTTTATGGCTTTTTGGTTGTTGTTATTATTTTTTTTAAAGATTTTATTTATTATGTATACAACATTCTGCTTCAATATATATCTGCAAACCAGAAGAGGGCACCAGATCTCATTACGGATGGTTGTGAGCCACCATGTGGTTGCTGGGAATTGAACTCAGGACCTCTGGAAGAGTAGTCGTGCTCTTAACCTCTGAGCCATCTCTCCAGCCCGTTGTTGTTATTTTTTATGTTATATTTTTTGATATGGTCTCACTATGTAGACCAGGTTGGCCTTTAACTCACAGAAGAGGTCCTGCTTCTGCCTTCTCAGTGCTGAGATCAAAGCCATGCTCTATGGTCTACCATACCTGACCTATTTTGTTTTGTTTTTGCTTTTCAAGACGGGGTTTCTCTGTGTAGCCTTGGCTGTCCTGAAATTCACTCTGTCCTAGAACTCAGCGATCTGCCTCCTGAGTTCTGGGATTCTTACCACTGCCAGGCCTTCTCTCTCTTTTCCTTCCTTCCTTCCTTCCTTCCTTCCTTCCTTCCTTCCTTCCTTCCTTCCTTTCTTTCTTTCTTTAGTGTGTGTGGGGTTAATTTGTTTGTTTCGAGTTTTTGTTTGCCTTGGTTTTTTGTTTTTGTCTTTGGATTTTTGGAGACAAGGTTTTTCTGTGTGTACTCCCGGTTGTCTTGGAACTCATTCTGTAGACCTGGCTGGTCTTGAACTCACAGAGATATACCCACCTCTGCCTTCCAAGTGCTGGGATTAAAGGCGTGTGCCACCACTGCCCAGCACTTTGTTTTGGGATGTGATCTCTTGTGTAGTTCAGGCTGGCCTCAAACTAGAAATGTATCTGAGGATGAAGTTGAACTCATGTACTTCTTGAATCTACCTCCCATGTGCTCAGAAAGAGAATTCTATTTATTTACTTATTTTAAGGCAGTGTCTTGATATATAACTTGGATACTTAGCAATTATTTAGCCCATTCTGGCCCCAAACTACCTATGTACCCCAAGTGAGTCTTAAAGTTACAGGCCTAATCCTGAGTTCTGAAATTAGAGATCTTCACTGTAATGTCTGACTAAAAGGAGATTTATTTGTTGTCTTGTTTGTTGTTTTCACAATGGTGGTGGTGGCGGCAGCGGGTTTGAGAGTGTCTCTACACCACCTGTGCTGGCCTCAGAATTGAAGCAGTCCTCCCAGAGTCTCTGGGATTATAGGTGTGAGCATCACAATGTGGGAAAGGCTGCTTGACAGGTGTGTTGAGCAGGGAAAAGGCAGGTTATCCCCGGAGCAATCCTCCTCATTTCATCTGACTACGGAAGTCAGCCTTCTTTGGAAGACTGTCTCACACAGCCTGGGCTGTCCTCAAACGCCTTCTGTAGCCAGTCTTCCTATAGCACCTGACCTCCTTGAACCCATCCCCTGGGTACAGGGTGAACAGTGCATACTGCCATCACTCCTGGCTCCTATTTTATTTGCCTCTCTTTTATTTTCTTCTTGAGACAAGATCTTATTATGTAGCCCTGGCTGGCCTGAAACTCACAGAGATCCACCTGCCTCTACCTCCTGAATGTTGGGATCAAATGTGTGCTACTTAGGTTTTTTTTTTTTTTTTTTTTTTTTTCTTAAATTCATCTGTCTCAGATGCCAGCTGAGTTGCACCTTTGTAGGTACTTTCCTGGCTTCACTGGTCTGAGAAGAACAGTGACTGCTGCCCTCCTTAGAGTGGGTGTTGATAGACAGGCTTAGCAGGGAGTAGCACCTTTGTGGCTGGCAGCTGATGAGTGTTGAATTTTTCCCTGAGTGTTTCAGATATCTCTGTGATGGGTGTAAAATGAATCTTTATCATGTTAAATAACATTTACTCCCCATTCCACACAGTAGTTTCCATATGAACTCTGACCTGAAATATTCTATACCAAGAATGCTTAGGTGTTGGGGGAGTAGCTTAGTGGTGGAGTACTTGGACTGACATGTATGTAGCTTTGGGTTTGAGCCAGGGCACTACAAAAAAGCAGTCAAATAGAAACAAAGTGGTTGCCTAGAGTATGTAAGGCTTGGGTTTGATGCATAGAACTGTAGACCAAAAGTAGACTTAAGAATGCTGCTAGGCATGGTGTACTCACCTTTGATCCCAGAACTTGGGAGGTTAAGGTAGAGAATTGTTGTAAGCTCAGACTGTCTGGGCTGTGTAATGTTTATTTCAGGCTAGCCTGGGCTGCACTGGGATACCTCATTTCACAACACCTCGCCAATGAGATAACCCAGTGTTTATACACTTGGTGTTTAAGTCTTGACAACCTGAGTTCAATCCCAGGAACCCACATACAGGTGGAAGGAAAGAACGGACTCCACAGAATTGTCTTTTGACTGTGCACTGTGGAATGAGCAACCCTCCTGTCGCCCAAAGTCATAAATAAGATTTAAACATCCTCCCAACACAAAAAACTAAGTCTATTAACTGAGGACATAGGGATGTAGAACAATAGCAGATTGTTTGCCTAGCGTGCTTGATATCCTGGGTTCATTCCCAATTTCTGAAAGAAAAATCAACAATAGCAGAAACCCCCAAAACCAAGAATATTCAATGACTCTTAGTAACAGAAACTTAAGTCATCTTGTCTGTGTCCCCTCCCATCCCCCCCCCCCCTTTTTTTTTCCTGCCTTGTTGGGAATTGAATTGAAGGCTCTGGGTATGATTGCTTGGTAAGAACATACCCACCAACCCTCAGTAAATGTTTCCTGTCTGAGTTCAAGCACTATGAATAGCATTGTTTTTTTTTGGTTTGGTTTTTTGTTTGTTTTTGTTTTTTGTTTTTCGAGACAGGGTTTCTCTGTCTTTGGAGGCTGTCCTGGAACTAGCTCTTGTAGACCAGGCTGGTCTTGAACTCACAGAGATTGACCTGCCTCTGCCTCCTGAGTGCTGGCACTAAAGACTCGTGCTACCACTGCCCAGCATATCAATAGCATTGTTACTGTAAGTGTTCATAATTAACTATTTTATTTTATTTTTTCCTTCTAATTTTTTTTTTTCTTTTTGAGATAAAGTCTTCCTATGTAGCCTAGGCTGGCCCTCAACTCAATATGTAGCCAAGGAAAGCATCAACCCACTGAGGGCTGTGATGCCTGGCTTTTGGTTTTCTCTTTTTTGGTAGGAGGTACTTGGGGCTTGAACCTAGTGCCTTGCTTGTGAGGACAGTGTTTTGCCAATGAGCTATAGCCCCAACCTATGCCTGCATCAGCTTTTATCTTCATGTTTCCGAATTGTTCCTTTTACTGTTTCTAAACTCGTTTAACCCCTGAAATGTTTTATTTTCTTTTTCTGTTTTTTAAAATACTAGTCCAGGCTTATAAGTAGCCGTATTATGTTAATTGTGGAATCTAGAAGCATTTAGAAAATGTAAATTAAAAGTTTTCTTATTTGACAGGCAGTGATGGTGCATGCCTTTAATCCCAACACCCAGGGAAACACAGGCAGGTGGATCTCTGTGAATTTGAGGCCAGCCTGGTCTACAGGAGCTAGTTCCAGGACAGCCAATTATATACAAAGAAACCCTGTCTTGAAAAAAACAAAAGCAAAACCAAAAGCAAAAAAAAAAAATATTTTTAACAAACCAACAAAAAAGGTCATCTTTGGCTATATATACATTGAAGTCACCCTGGACTAAATTGAACCCTCTCTCAAAGCAGAAACAATGAGAGTGGGTGGTTGGGAGGGGGATTTGGGAGGAGTTGGGGAAGGGGAAAGAATATGGCCAAAATATGTTGTGTGAAAATACAATTTTTCATAAATAAAAATTGTATATTATATACATCATATTGCAATAAATTTTATTTTAGATTACCTTTTTCCTTCTTGAAGCAGAGTCTCACTATGTAGCCTTGGCTGTCCTGGAGCTCCAATGTAGACCAGGCTGCCCTCAAACTCAAAAAAATCTACCTACCTCTGCCTCAAGAGTGCTGGGATTAAAGGGGTACACCACCATGTCCACCTTCAATAAATTAGACTTGAAAAGAAAAAAAATGAACAGTCCTTCCTCGTCTTTATTCTTTCTGAGATGTAATCTGGCTATGTTGCCCAAGCTGGCTTTGAATTTCAGGGCTTAAACTACTTTTGCTCAGCTTCTTGAGTAGCTGGAACTACATGGATGAACCACAGCCTGTAGCTTACTTTTCTTTCTCATTATAGAAGAAAATAAGTGCCTCGGAAAACATGACTAGGGGTTGGAGAGATGACTCAGCGGTTAAGAGCACTGACTGCTCTTACAGAGGACCTGGGTTCAATTCCCAGCACGCACATGGCAGCTCACGACTCTGTAACTGCAAGATCCAACACCCTCACACAGACACATGCAGGCAAAAACACCAATGCACATAAAATAAAAAAAATACAAAATAAAACAAAAGCATGACTAAGGATAAAGAGTGACCAGGTCTATTCTGGGTGTGGCCATGACAGAATTTTGGAACATTGTGCTTGTTCCTGTTCAGTCTTTTCTCATGAAAAATAACTAAGAATCTTGTAAAAAAAAATTATTTTTTCTGGGGAAAAGAAAAATGAGGCATATGCTAATTTCTCTTTTAGATCCTGAAAGTCAAACCTTGAAGGAACACTTAATTGATGAGCTGGACTATGTGTTGGTCCCAACTGAAGCCTGGAATAAATTGCTAAATTGGTATGGCTGTGTGGAAGGCCAGCAACCCATTGTCAGAAAAGTGAGTACCTGAGTTGTTACATCTGCTACGTGTCTGTAAGTTCTCCCTGAGTACACCGACTTCTATTGATTTCCTGGGAAGATGACTGTAGTTAAGTGATTGAAAGCAAGTATTGAGACCTTGTTTGCTTGTTTGTTTTTTTTTGAGACAGTTTTTCTGTGTAGTCTTTGCTGTCTTGGAACTTATTCAGTAGACCAGACTGTCCTCAAACTCAGAGATCCTCCTGCCTCTTCGTACCAAGTGCTAGTATTAAAAATGTCACCACCATATCTTGAGACCTTGTTTTTGTTTCCTGAGACAGGATCTCAGTGTAGCCCAGGCTGGCCTTGTACTGGTCATCTCCTGCTTCAAATACTTGAGTGCTGGAATTGTGGTCTGAGAGACTATTTCTAGGTTGCCTATGGTTCTCTAGGAAGTAAAATGGTTTGGGTAACTTAGGATGTTACTAAGGGGCCTCCAAGTACCAGAGCTGCCTGGTAGTTTAGGATGTCCATTAGTGCTCAGAGCACTTTATGAACACAGAAGGTGGCCACGTGGACTTGAACTGATGTATTGCTGCTCTCCCTTCCCCTAGGACTGGGAATGATCCTAGGGCCTTATATATGTTAAACATGAGCTAAGCTGTATGTCCTACTCTTTTTTTTTCTTGAGACAGAGTCTTACTAAGTTTCTTGTAGCTCAGGTGGGCCTTGAACTGTGACAATTGAGTCTTGTCTTTGAGCCTTCTGTGTGTTGAGATTACATGTGTGAGCCACCATGCTTACCTAATAACATTGGTTTTTGGTTTTGGTTTTGGTTGGCTATTTTTTGTTTGTTTTTTCAAGACAGGGTTTCTCTGTGCAGCCTTGGCTGTCCTGGAACTCTCAGTAGGCCAGGCTGCCCTGGAACTCACAGAGATCTATCTGCCTATCTCCCTACCTCTAGTAGTGCTGGGATTTAAAGACAAGCTCTACCACTGCCTGGCCTCTAACAATTTTTTGAATCCCATTTCCCCCTATGCTCACGAGGCTGACTACTCCTGAGTAGTCAAAAGTCCATGTTTATAAACAGATCAAGGACAGGCACATGCTGAGACAGAAGCGTGGCTTAGTGCCTTTGGTGGACAGAACTCATTAGAACACTACCCTGTTTCTCAGTTATTTGCTTTTCTTTTCTTTTTTGTTTTGTTTTGTTTGTTTGTTTGTTTCTTCCAAGACAGGGTTTCTTTGTGTGTCCAGAACTCACTTTGTAGACCAGGCTGGCCTGGGAACTCAAGAGATCAGTCTACCTCTGCTTCCACAGTGCTGGGATTAAAGGTGTGTGCCTCTGCTGCCCCCTGCCCTCCCACCCCCCCAGCCCTTCTAAGGTTTTACCTTTATTTTATAGCCCTTTACTTTGACAAACCCTACAAGGGCCACTGCAAGACTTTTTGCTCAAAGTTGACCTGAGACCTGCCTATAGGGCCTGGTGTTGTATTCACACAGACCTCTCTTCTGGTTTCATGAAGGTATACTTGGGTCTTCATTATAGGGGGGAAGTTGTAACTCCTGGGATATATGCTGACGAATTCAATTTATACTTCCTAAAAATGAATAAAAATTTGTACTCCTTAGACCAGACATGGTCATGAATGCCTTTAATCCCAGCAACTTAGAAGGCAGAGGCAGACAGATTTCTGTGAGTTTGAGTCCAGCTTGGTCTACATAGTCAGTTCCAAGTCAGCTAGGGCTACATAATGAGACCACGTCTCAAAACCAAAGAATTTCTGAAGGAAACTTTTTTTTGAGAGGTTTTAGTCTTCTGCCGTTGTTGCTTCGGAGGCTGCTGAGGCTGCTGAGGCGTGTGGCTTCCAGGGCTGCCCAGGTACCCAGCCACGGCTCATTCACCTTTGCCTCTTGTTTACAGGTTGTGGAGCATGGCCTGTTTGTCAAGCACTGCAAAGTGGAGGTGTATTTACTGGAGCTGAAGCTCTGTGAGAACAGTGACCCCACCAATGTGCTGAGTTGCCATTTTAGCAAAGCAGACACCATTGGTAAGCAGCTAGCCAGGGTTTTGGGTATCTGGCAAGAGAATACAGGGTATTGTAATTGATGGAAGGGAAGTTCTCTCAAGACTTGTTACCCAATTGTGGTTGTCAGTCCTGACTTGGAAGTCTTTTCCTGAGAGAATTGTGAGGAACTAACCACACCTGGAAACTGTGTTCTATACAATGGGACTTGGGCCAGCAAGATGGCCAGAAGAGTAGCTCAAGCAGGCTTGAACTCAGTATATAGCCATGGATAACCTTGTATTTGTGATTCTCCTGTCTCCACTTCCTAAGTGCCTGGTTTACATGATTCTAGGGATTGTACTTATGGTATATGTATGCTAAGCAATCATTCCACCAGCTGAGCCACATCACCAGCCCAAACCCTTATGTTTTTAGGGACAGAAAACTGTATGTATGCAGTAAAAACACTGCATTTCATTATATACAGTAGTCCTGAGTCTGAGCTATGTTGTTTTAGGCACTGTTATTGGTCTGGTGCTGCATGGTCTAATGGTATGTGTAAGGCAGACTATACATGTTGTATGTTTAGAAATAAGGCTGCAGTGATGTGGCACCAGAAGCCCTTCAGATTCTTTACATACTTGATTTTCTTGCCCTTTCCACAGGGTCTCATGTAAACTAAGCTGGTCCTAACTCTTCTGATCCAGTCTAGCCTTGAGCTCCTGGTCCTCCTGCCTCTGCTTCCCAAGTGGTCACTACACTCAGTTCTGGGTGTTAGATTTTGAGTTAATTCTGTTTGTTGTATGTTCAGAAACCTGTGTGTGTGTGTGTGTGTGTGTGTGTGAGAGAGAGAGAGAGAGAGAGAGAGAGAGAGAGAGAGAGAGAGAGAGAGAAAGTATTTCTATTTTGTAGCTCTGATTGTCCTGGTACTCATGTGAACCAGTCAGGCAGGCCTCAAACTCAGAGTTCCACCTGCTTTTCCCTCCTGAGATCTGGAATTAAACACCACCACACTCAGCTTATTCTCCCCCCTACCCATTCCCCACACATTCAGTCACATGATCTCATATGGAGTTTTTAAAAGCTGGGCTGTACAATGCCAAGTCTGATTCATAAACATTTGTCTTCTCTAAAAAGGATGAAGGAATGTAGAGTCAGAAGTTAAAAAAATAACTCAGCCAGGATCTAGAGGGGTAGCTCAGTAGCCAGGATCTAGAGGGGTAGCTCAGTAGCCAGGATCTAGAGGGGTAGCTCAGTGAAGAGTTACTTATATGAGGACCTCATACAATCTCAGAACCCGAAATAAAAATAAATACCCTCTACTACTTGAGCTGGGAGTAGAGCTAACACCTGTAGTCCTAGCAGTTGGAATGCAGAGATATGAGGATTTTCCAGGAGTTTGAGGCCAGTGTGGTCTACTGTGAGACCCTGTTTCAAAGACATAAAACAAGGCTATGAAGAAGGCTTTATAGGTGAGTGCCTGCTGTGTAGGCATGAGGACCTGAATTTATCTCCCGGGCATATACATAAGAAAACCAGGTTATGGAGCTGGGTGGTGGTGGTGCATTCCTTTGATCCCAGCACTCAGGAGGCAGAGAAGAGGCACACAGAGCTACAAGAGCTAGTTCCAGGCTCCAAAGCTACACAGAGAAACCCTGTCTTCAAAAACACACAAAAAAAGAAAACCAGGTGTGGTATGTGCCTTTGATCTCAGCACTGAAGAAGTGAAGGCAGGCAGGTAGATCCTTGAAGCTCATTGGTCAGCAGCCCCAGTTAAGTCAGCTTTAGGTTCAGAGGGAGACCCTGTCTCAAAAAGTCAAAGACAGAAAGATAGCTAAAGACAGCCTCTGGTCTCTGCACCTACACACACACACACACACACATTTGTGCACACACCCACACTAACATGTACCACACATAGAAAACATCGGTGGCTCCAGAGATGGTTCGGCAATTATAAGCATGGATACGCTTCCAGAGGACCTAGATTGAATTTCCATCATACATAGGGCAGTTCACATATTGTCTTAGTTACTGTCTAGTTCCTGTGAAGGGACACCATGACCAAGGCAGCTCTTATGAAAGAAAGCATTTAATTTGGGGCTTACTTACAGTTTTTGAGGGTTAGTCCATGGTCATAATGGCAGAAAACAGGCAAGATAGTGCTGGAACAGTAGGTGAGCTTTACATTCTGATCCGAAGGCAGAGAGAGTGAACTCAGGAGAGCATAACACTGGGCCTAGCATGGGCTTCTGAAACCTTCCATGAAAACTCCAACAAGGCCATCCTCCTAATCCTTTCCAAATAGTTCCACTAACTGGGTGCCAAGCATTCAAACATAAGAGCTGTAGTGGTCATACTCATTCAAACCACCGCATCTCTTTTTAACTCTAACTCCACAAATCCATACCATCTTCTGGCTGCTTGATGGTACTAGACACACATGATATGCAGACATACATGCAGGCAAGAAAAAAATCCATACACATAAAAATGAATTAATTAAAAAAAAAAAAAAACAAAAAAACTTCCGGGCTAGAGAGATGGCTCAGCCGGTTAAGAGCACTGACTGCTCTTCCAGAGGTCCTGAGTTCAATTCCCGGCAACCACATGGTGGCTCACAACCACCTTGAATGAGATCTGGTACCCTCTGCTGGCATACGGGCAGAAGATTGTTTACATAATAAATAAATAAAATCTTATAAAAACAAAAACAAAACAAAAAAACCCAAACTTCCACATTCTTGGGGGGGGGGGAAATGGTAGGTGTTTTAGGTTTTGTTTTGTTTGTTTTGGTGGGGCTAAGTGACAGTCTCAGGATCTTTTACTAACACTAAGCAAACACTCTACCACTGAACCACTTCCACAGTCTGCCTTCTTCTTTTTTTTTTAAGTTTTTATTTATTATGTATACAACATTCTGCTTCCATGTATATCTGCACACCAGAAGAGGACACCAGATCTCATAATGGATGGTTGTGAGCCACCATGTGGTTGCTGGGAATTGAACTCAGATCCCAGTCAGTACTCTTAACCTCTGAGCCATCTCTCTAGCCCCACAGTCTGCTTTCTTTGAGGTGAAGTCTTGTTGTATAGCCCAGATGGCCTCAGACTCAGGGTCCCTCTGAGTGACTCAATTGCTACATTGTAGGCGATGTCACCATGTCTGGCTGAGAGCTCACTTTTTTCCTTAAAATTTTAATTACATCACTTCCCTTCGCTCTCCTTTCTCCAGCCTCTCCTGTGTTCCCTTCCTCAAATCTCTCCTGTGGTCTCCCCCACTCCCTCTAAAATTGGTGGCCAAATGAACTCAGAAGGCCACATTTTGTGTGTGTATATCTAACAATAATAATCATAGAGCTAGCTTTTTTCTTTTTGGGGGTGGGTCGTGATTTCAAGATGGTTTCTCTCTGTTGCCCGCTGTCCTGGAATTCTCTCTTTAGACCACTCTGGCCTCGAACTGAGAGATCTGCCTGCCCGTGCCTCCAGAATGCTGAGATGAAAGGTGTGTGTCACCACCGCCCAGCTTTTTCTTGTTTTGTTTGTTTGATTTTCGAGACAGGATTTCTCTATGTAGCCCTGGCTGTCCTGGAACTCACTCTGTAGACCAAGCTCACCTCAAACCCAGAGGTTCTCCTGTTTTTGCCTCCTAAGTGCTGGAATGAAAGATGTGTACCATACTGCCCAACTTTTAGTTTTCCAATTTTCTTTGTTCCCCTCCCCTCCCCTCCCCTCCCCTCCCTCGTCTTTTGTTTTTCGTTTTTTCTTTGTTTTTGAATAGGTTTTCATACTAAAATTCAGGTTGACTTAAAACTTTCTAGGAGCTTTTGAACTTGTTGGAGCCTTCCACCTCAGTCTCCTGAGAGTTGGGATTATAGGCACAAGCCACTACACCTGAGTTGTGTGTTACTGTAGTGCCTTGAATGAGACCTGCTTTATCAGAGAAGCATAGTGAGCTGCTTCTCACAAGGAGGCCTCTGAAAGGTGATAGGCCTTAGGAATACAAACAAGTTAAGGTTGGTAAACATATTTGCTCCAGATTCCCCTTAACATTTGAGAAGGAAGAAGAGTGAAGATTGGTTTGCCTTGTCTGTCTTTAACTTTATCTCTGGAGACAGCGCTGAATGCTGTTTTTGCCTGTTCTTAGCAACCATCGAGAAGGAGATGAGGAAGCTATTCAACATCCCTGCAGAGCGTGAAACTCGGCTTTGGAACAAATACATGAGCAACACCTATGAGCAGTTGAGCAAGCTAGACAACACTATCCAGGATGCTGGGCTGTACCAGGGTCAGGTAGGAGGACCCAGGCCATGCCCAGACAGGTAGCTCTGACCAGGGTGTGTGTCAAGAAGTCTCTGGCAATAAGCATGTCAGAAGTGGGGTGTGTTGTATTATGCTCACTTGTTTTCCCCTTTCATTCAGGTGCTAGTAATTGAGCCCCAAAATGAAGATGGCACATGGCCCAGGCAGACCCTGCAGTCAAAGTAAGTGAACCCTCTCTCCCACGTATCTGGGCTCACAGATGCACCGAAAGGGGAAGAGGGAGGGGGTTCGGAATGAGATGGGAAAATCATTTTCTCATCCAAATTGCGTAGTCTTTGAGGCACCGGCCTTTGGTAAGCAGCTTGCTTGATAGTGTAAGAGATGCCCGTCAGGGTCTCAACAAGGACGGGAGAGGAGGAGGAGAGGTCAGAGCTGATAGAGCTACTTTGCCAAAAGTGACTTTACTTTTTGTTAAGGTCCTTTGCTTTCCTACTTGTAGTTTAGAGGCTTTGAGAAAGGAAGAGGAGGGTTAGGATAAGGGTTTGTATGACTTAAAGGTGATAGCTTGCTCCCACTTACCTCTGCTCTGTGGCCTGCTCAGCTACTAACCTTGGATTCCAAGCAGTTACCTCAGGAGATATTCCTGTGACTTGTGCAATTGTGCACACCCTTAGAAGATTGCAGAAAGAAGTGATGGCTCTTTTTTCTGATGTCGTGCAGGGAAATAACATTACTATTTCCTGACCTGATGACAAAAGTAGATCCAGGTGTGGTGGCACATGCCTGTAATCCTAGCCCGTGAGAACATTTGGTGGAGGTAGGAGGGGGTCAAGGTCATCCTCTGGTACATGGTGAATTCTAGACTAGCCTGCTCTGTAGGAAACTGTCTGCAAAAACAAACAAAAAATCCCGTGGCAGTGGTGATGGCTCAGCAAGTAAATTGCTTGTCATGCAAGCATGGAAACCAGAGCTCACATTCCCAGAACCCACCTGTGGTGGGTAGGTGGGGTAGCCTGCCCATAATCCTGGTGCACAGGAGATGGAGACGGAATCTTTGGAGCAAGCTGACTAACCAGACTAGCCAAAATGGTGAACTCTGGGTTCAGTGAGACCCTCACCTCATTGTATAAGATGAAGAGCAATCAAGGAAGATACCTAACATTAACCTCAACATGTGTATGAATGCACATATCCATGTTTCCAACACAGACACTCACACATACACACCACATATGCGTATGCAATAAAAAGTTGAAAAAAGCGGGCTGCAGAGATGGCTTAGCAGTCAAGAGCACTGACTGCTCTTCCAGAGGACCTGGGTTCAATTTCCAGCACTCACATGGCACTTTACAACTGCCTATAACTCCAGTTCCAGGGGTCTGACAACCCCACAGACATACATGCATGGAAATAAACAAATAAATAAATCATTATATTAAAAAGTTGAAAAAATAGAATACCCTGTTGCCACAAAATGCGCATCTCCTTATCACAGGAATTTATGAATGTATTTTGCAAGTGTGATTAAATTAATATTGAAATCGGGAGACTGACTCTTTGGATGGACCCAGTGTAGTTACAAGGCTCCCTGTAGGTGAGGGGAGCCTGGGAACTTAGTAGGTGTGAGGTCGGAGCAAAGGCAAGACAGTGAGGTGTGAGGAAAGCTCTCCAAGGACTGAAAAACTGCACAGGTCTATCACTTGGACACCTTGACTTTTTTTTTTTTAAATTCATTCATTTATTTTGGTTTTTGAGACAAGGTTTATCTGTGTCACAGCCTTGGCTGTCCTGGAACTGGCTTTGTAGACCAGGCTGGTCTCGAACTCACAGAGATCTTCCTGTCTCTGCCTCCTGAGTGCTGGGATTAAAGCCCACACCACCACTCACGCCTTAATTACTGTATGTGTATGGACATTTTGCTTGTATGTATGTCTGTATATTATGTGTGTGCCTGGCGCCTATGGATGCTAGAAGAGGGCGTTGGAGCCCCTGGGACTGCAGTTACCGGTGGTTTGTTGGGAGCCTGGGTCCTTTGTAAAAGCAACAAGCTTTTTTTTTTTTTTAATTTATTTAATTTTATTGTATGTGTTGGTGTGAAGGTATCAGATCCCCTGGAACAGGATATACAGACAGTTGTGAGCTGCCATTTGGGTGTTGGGAATTGAGCTTGGGTCCTCTGGAAGAGCAGCCAGTTCTCTTAACTGCTGAGCCATCTCTCCAGACCCCAGCAACAAGCATCTTAATCATCTCTCTGAGCCATTTCTCCAGTCCCTCCTTCAAACTTGAACTTCAGGAATTTAATGATAATACACATTGTGTTGTTTTGAATGATCTCTGAGTTTGTAGAAATTTGTGACAGCAGAAGTCAGGAAGCAAACAGGAAAGTTCAGACTAGACAACTCCCTTCTTAACTAAAAGTGCCACAGAATGTAGAAAACTACGCCCTAAACTGAGAGGCCTCAAGGGCAGTATTTCTCAACCTCTGGGTCAACTCCTTTGGGGTCACATGACCCTTTCACAGGGTCACCTAAGACCATCGGAAAACACATTACGATTCATAACAGTAGCAAAATTACAGTTACGAAGTAGCAACAAAAATAATTTTAAGGTTGGGGGTCACCACAACTTGAAGAACTATATCTTGAGGTTGCAGCATTAGGAGGATTGCAAACCACTGCTCTAGAGAAAACCCTCTAGGTGAGTTGGCTTGCAGCCTGTGAAATACAGTTGGTAACTCAGAGTAAAGCAGACTGGCTGTCCTGGCCTCCTAGGCTGCTTTACTTGTACCTCTTGTTTTAGCTTTGCTTCTCCCCATCCTTCCCATACTCTGAAGCCTAAGAATTCCCCTTAAGGGAGATAGATGGCTTTTGGAAGACAGCAGTGCTCCCTTAAAAATTCCATGAAGGTTAGAGTCTCAAAGTAAGGTGTGATTGGTCTAGAGTGAGCATAAAATGGTATTCCTGAGGCACATTCCTGTTCTTTCTTTTTTGGTTTTGTTGAGACAGGGTTTCTCTGTATTGTTTTGGAAGCTGTCCTGGAACTCACTCTGTAGACCAGGTTGGTCTCGAACTCACAGAGATCCGCCTGCCCTGGCCTCCCCAGTGCTGGGATTAAAGATGTGTGCTCCACCACTGCCCTGCCCACATTCCTTTTCTTGATCTCTAGTGCAGTGTCAGATATTGTTGTCCATGAGGATACAGCCATAAAATAGACAGTGTGTTGGGTCAGGAAATGAGATCAATAAGAAAAACACTTGTGCTCACTGATTTATAAGCAATATAGACAAAACTCAGGAATTATCAAATTGTAGGATTTGGGATGGATCAGATTGAACCTGCTGACCTATCACACTGGCCCTTGATGGGGAGTGGGGGAGAATGTGTGTCTGTTTTCTTGTGTATAAGTACAGGCACACATGCGCCAGGGCATGCTTGTGGAAGTCGGACATCAGCTTCAGTTGTCAGTCTTGCCTTCCACCTAGGTTGAGCTGCCTACTGCAACTTTATAATGCAACCTTATTGATCTGAGCCCAGCCCAAGGCTCCCAGCAACTCTCTTGTTTCCATTTGATTACTCCACTATAGTATGAAGACAGGGCTTTTGTAGTCACAGTCACTGAGAATGGAGACTGCTTTTCCCTTCCATTTTCCTCTTTCTGTGTAGAACAGAATGGCCTCAAGCTTGTAATCCTGCCTCAGCTGTCTTAGTTCTGGGGATCCAGGTATGAACCATGAAGCACAACTAAGACTGTTTGTTTGTTTATTGAGAAGAAACCCAAGGCATTGAATGGGGTCTGTACTTTGCAAAAGTCAGTGGTATTGTTTTTGCTTCTCTCTCTCAGATCAAGCACTGCACCTAGCAGAAATTTTACTACCTCTCCAAAACCATCTGCAAGTCCCTATTCCTCAGTGTCTGCCTCTCTCATTGCAAATGGTGATGGCACTAACACCTCTGGGATGCACAGTTCCGGTGTCAGCAGGGGGTAAGAACAGGCCCTTTACTTTGCTTTTTCCCTTCTTCATTTTTTTCTCAGGAGTACCTGGGATGCTCTCCAGCTTGTGGGATTAGAGCTTCCTGGGAGAATGTGCTCTCTCTGGTTTGTCACTACATTTCCTGCCTGTAGTAAAGCATGCCTCCCCGGTGTGACTTCTCTGACTTGTCCTTTTGCTGTCTGGTATTTTCTCCAGTCTAGACCATGATAATCTTGAGGGCAGGGTGGCTGGTGTAGGGCGATCACAACATTTGTGAAGTGGTGAGCTGGTTACACGACAGCTAAAAAGGGAGAGTTGTCAGTTTTGGCAGAACCCGTTTCATCTCTTAGCAGCTGTGTTCCTTTCTCCATGCACATTAGGAACATGTGCATGGAGAAAGCACAGGCAGGGTGTACGAACACTCAGGTCCAGCCAAGGCCTGGTGTGGCCTAGTAGATGGTGGCACATGGAAGCTCTTAATCTTGATCTTGGTACCAAAAGTATCTTTTCCTGAAGTCATTGGCTAGCCTCCTAGAAGAATATAAAATTAGTCACCAGAATCTAAAAGATGAAAATTCAAATAGCATTTCTCCCTGTACTTACTGCCTGCTGACATGCCAAGTAAAGGTGGGGAAGTCTGGAGGACCAAAGCAGGTAGGGAGCATTTACACACTGAGACTACAACCAGGCAGAGCTCCAAAAGTCAGTAAGGGCATATGTCCAGCACTTGCTTTTATTGCTCATGTGGATTGTGTTTTTCAGTGGATCTGGCTTCTCTGCTTCGTATAATTGCCAGGAGCCCCAATCGCCTCATACACAGCCTGGCCTCTGTGGACTTGGAAACCTGGGGAACACCTGCTTCATGAACTCTGCTTTGCAGGTAGAGGGGATAGTGGCCAACTAAATAAAACTGTGGGTGCGAGTTTGTGAGTGAAGAATGGGTCTTCTCTTAGATCACCCCAGTTCACCTCCTTTTAGAGTCTCTGCCAGGGTACCGCCTACTGTTTTGTTCAGAATGGCTTCATATTAGTGTTTGTAGGTCCTGACACTGTTGTTTGCTTAGTTGGTTGATGTTCTTATTTTGAGACATGGATTTTTATTTTCTTTCAAAAGAAAAAGGAGAAAAGGACTAGGGTTATAACCTAGTGATAGAGGTCTTGCCTAGCATCTCAGTACTGGGTTCAATCTCTAGCACCGGTACCACAGAAACAACAAACCCCAGTGTTAGTTAGCACAGTAATTTATGAGTGTAATCCCAGCACTTAGGGAGATCTCAAAAACAAACCCCAGTGTTAGCATAGTAGTTTGTGAGTGTAATCCCAGCACTCAGGGAGATCTCAAGTTTGAGGGAGATCTTATTTGAAAATTTATCTTTATTGATTAATCAAGTATTTATTGGGTATGTAATAAAATTGTGATATATGTGGGTGGCCAGGAATTAAGAGTCCAACAGCAAAACCAGGAGATCATGCCAGGCAGCACTTGGGAGGCAGAGGCAGGTGGATCTCTGTGAGTTTGAGACCATCCTGTTCTACAAGAGCTAGTTCCAGGACAGCCTCCAAAGCCACAGAGAAACCCTGTCTGGAAAAACCAAGAAAAATAAACAACAACAACAATAAAAACCCTAGGAGATCATGTTCTCTAAGAATGCCCTCAGTTGCCAGGCAGTAGTGGTGTAGACCAGACCTTTAATCCTAGTACTCGGGAGGCAGAGGCAGGTGGAGTTTGAGGCCAGCCTGATCTACAGAGTGAGTTCCAGGACAGCCAAGACTACACAGAAAAACCCTGTCTCCAAAAAAAAACAAAAAAAAAAAAGATTGCCCTTAGCTTTGAGGCCAATTGCAAGTTCAGGGTTTCCTAAGAGCACTCTCAATTTTTATAATTTGCTAGAAGGACTTAGGAATTTACTTAAAGCTATCATAGTTTATTCATGATAATAGTTTATGATGAGGAAAGGATAGAGATTAAAGTTAGCCAAGGGAAGAAGCAAATAGAATGTCCAGGAGGGTTCCAAATGCAGAATTCTGGTATGGCTCTGTATATATGCAAACCCAGCACTTAGAAGGCTGTGGCAAGGATTGTCCAGAGTTTGAGATCAGCCTGGTCTAAGAGTGTGTCAGACAAAAGAACTTGGTCTGTGTTTCTGTCTTTCTGTTTGTGCTGTGTGGAAGGGTTATGAGCTCTGATTTTGTTCTGTTTCAGTGCCTGAGCAACACTGCCCCCCTGACTGAGTACTTCCTCAAAGATGAGTATGAAGCCGAGATCAACCGAGACAACCCTCTGGGGATGAAAGGGGAGATTGCAGAGGCCTATGCAGAGCTCATCAAACAGATGTGGTCTGGAAGGGACACTCATGTGGCACCTCGAATGTTCAAAGTAGGTTGAGATACATTACTTTTTTTCCTCAAAAGAAAAGATTGTTTTTACATTGTGTATGCATGAGCACACTCTCATACATGTGTGCACACATGTTTGTACCATAGCACAAGGGTAGAGTTTAGAGGACAACTTGTAGAATTGTTTCTCTCTACCACAGATTCTGAGGATCAGCCTCAGATGGCCAGGCTTGATGGCAAGCATCTTTATCTGCTGACCTGGCTTGTTAGATTCCCTTCCCTTCCCTTCCTTTTTTTTTTTTTTTTTTTTTTTTTTTTTTTTTTTTTGTCTTTTGGAGACAGGGTTTCTCTGTGTAACAGCCCTAGCTGTCCTAGAACTCAACTTGTAGATCAGGTTGGCCATGATTGAACTTACAGAAATCTACCTGCCTTTGTTTTCCCGAGTTCTGGGATTAAAGTTGTACACCACCACCGCCTGATTCCCTGTCCCTTTTTTGTTCATTTGTTTTTGTTTTTTTGTTTTTTCGAGACGGAGTTTCTTTGTGTAGCCTTGACTGTCCTAGAATTTGCTCTGCAGGCCAGGCTGGCCTCACATTTACACAGATCATCATACATTAAAAAAAAAAAAAAAAAAAAAAGCTGGGCAATGGTGGCACACCCCTTTAATCCCAGCACTTGACAGGCAGAGGCAGGCAGATCTTTGAGTAGAGGCTAGCCTGGTCTACAGAGTGAGTTCCAGGACAGCCTGGGCTATACAGAGAAACCCTGTCTCAGAAATAAAACAAACAAAAAGGTAGAATCTAAGACTCAAAAGTTCATGTTATCAGACCCTTCTTTTCTGTCATTCAGAGCTGTGGTATTTGTTTTATTTTGTTGGTTTTGAATTTTTCTGTTTTTTGAGACAGGGTCTCACTGAGATGTTCTCAAACTCATAATCCAGTTGCCTTGAAAGATGTGTACCACTGGGCCTGTCTGACTCAGTACTGTGGGGTTGTTTGTTTGTTTGTTTGAGACAGGGTTTCTCTGAGTAACAACTCTGGCTCTCCTGGAACTCTTTGTAGATCAGGTGGTCTTGAACTCAGAGATCTGCCTGCCTCTGTGTATCTTTGGAGCCTTTCCTGGAACTTGCTCTGTAGACCAGACTGGCCTCAAACTCACAGAGATCCGCCTGCCTCTGCCTCCCGTCCACCACTGCGCAGCAGAAAAGCAATTCTTACTCATATTTTTTTCTCTCAATGAGGGAGTCTCAAGTGGTTGGTTAATGAAGACTCTTTCTTCTCTCTCTCTCTCTCTCTCTCTCTCTCTCTCTCTCTCTCTCTCAGCTTTATTTTATGTATCTGCATGCTCAGTCTGCATGTACACCTTTATGCCAGAAGAGGCCATCAGATCCCACTAGAGACGTTTCTTAGCCACTGTGTGGGTGCTGGGGATTGAACTCAGGACCTCTGGAAGAGCAGTAGTATTGTGCCATCTCTCCAGTCCCAAATACTCTCTTTCATCTTCTTGGTCACATTAATCCTTGAGAAATACAAGTAAATTACTGTTTCTATACTAAATCATAAAAAAAAAAATACTAGAATTGGATGGGTGCACACTGGGTTCATTCCTATGTGAATAATTTATAAATAGCATTTTGGGCTATTCCTCACTTGACTGATGGACATAGTTAATATCTGCAATGTCTGGTAGTAGCCATTAGCCCACGTGCTGCTGAGCATTTCTAATGTGGTTAGTATGACCAAGAGTCAGAATTTGGGGGGCTGAAGAGATGGCTTAGCAGGTAAGAGAACTGGCTACTCTTTTAGAGGATCCAGATTTGATTCCTAGCACCTACCATTGGTAACTCCAGTTCCAAAGCCGTCTTCTGGCCTCCATGGGTACCACATAGGCACACAGCACACACACACACACACACACACACACACAAAAAAAAAAAAAAAAAAAAAATCCATAAACATAAAGTAATAATTTTCAAAAAGAATCTCAATTTTAAGTTGTATTTAAGTTTTTCACTGGTGCTAGCAATTTAACCCAGGCTTTTGTGCAAGCTAAGCGAGTACAGTTGAGCTATACCCTAGCTCCTCTTTATTTTCAACTTCCTTGTATTTGAATAACCTCTGAATTAGTGGCTAAAGTGTTAGACAACACATACAAAGCAGAGCTTGTCGAATTTTAGGCTGTATCACGGTCTCTGGGAAGGCTTATTCAGGAGATTATGGGCCCATCCCTGGAGTTTGTGATTGAGCCTCAGTAGAGTTTGTTTTTGATAAGTGCTAGGTGCTGCTGCTTCTGCTGACTGGGACCACGTGCAGGGTTGCTGGAACGATCAGCACTGACAGAGCTGGGGATGTGAGGGCCGTTCTGTGTGTGACTCCTTTGTTTGATGCAGAATCATTTCTAAAGTTTTATAATTTAATCCTGAACCACAGAAGGACATTGGAGTGGAGCATCAGACTTGGAAATGTCAACAGAGAGTGCCTTCTCTACCCCTGTCAGAACAATGGCCTCATGTCAGGCCTGCTTTCTGATTTGAGCTGTCTTTCTGGGCCCATTGGCCTCAGGATGGCTCTTGGGGCGTTAGTTGGATGTTCACTCAGGTGAGGTTTCATACATTCCGGTGGACTGTAGAGCAGTCGTCATGTCCGCTGCCCTCTGACTTGTTTACTTTTTCTTCTTCACTGATTCTTTATTATACCTCCTGACATAGTTGCTTCTGTTGTAGACCCAAGTGGGACGTTTCGCCCCTCAGTTTTCTGGCTACCAACAACAAGATTCTCAGGAGCTGTTAGCCTTTATTCTAGACGGATTGCACGAAGACCTGAACCGAGTGAAGAAGAAGCCCTACCTGGAGCCAAAGGATGCCAGCGGGCGACCAGATGCGGTATGATATTGAAGCTGTCTACACAGTGTCCCAAAGAGACTTCCTTCTATTGGCAGCATGGGAACAGTCTTCCGGTGTTGGGTTAGTGCGAGGGCCCTGGTGCCTCTCGGTATTACTCATGACAGGGATGCATTCCTAGTCAGAAAGGAGCTAACTGTAGTCGCCTTTTCCTTTCTTTCCCAGTGCTCCAGGGCCTTTGGAATACTAGGCAGGCACTCTACCACTGGGCTACATTCCCAGCCCTAACATACTTCCTTCTGGGTTTCTTCAAGTTAGCTAGTTTGTTTAGTATTGCATTGGCAAGCCAGTAACTTCAAGAGTTGTAAAAACTTGAAAGTGTTGGCAGTATGCTCTTAGCATTGTTACTGCTCTTTGCAACTCAGCTGGGATATTTGTTTGTGGTACCGATGATAAAACCTCCAACCTCACTCCTATTGGGCAAGTGCTGGATCGCATTAGGTGGCCTGGACTGGCGTATTGTAGCCAAGTATGGCCTGGAAAGTTTGAGTCTTTTGTCTCCAGTGTACTAAACTAGCCTCTTCTCTCCGTGATTATTAAAATAATCTCATTAAGACTAAATTTAGGGCCAGGCAGGTGGTGGTGCACGCCTTTAATCCAACATTCGGAGGCAGAGGCAGGCGAATTTCTGTGAGTTTGAGACCAGCCTGGTCTACAAGAACTAGTTCCAGGACAGCCTCCAAAGCCACAGAGAAACCCTGTCTCGAAAAACCAAAAAAAAAAAAAAAAAAGACTAAATTTAGAGCTGGGAGGTGGCCCATGTCTTTAATCCCAGGATTTGGGAGGCAGAGGCAGGTGGATCTCTGTGAGTTTGAGGTCTACAGAGGTAGTTCCAGGATAGGCCTCTAAAGCTACAGAGAAACGCTGTCTTGAAAAACAAAAACAAGAGATCTCTCCTAAGGTCCTTTAGATCATTAAAAACACAAAAGGTTTGGTCTATCCCCAGTTGGATCTGTCTGACTACAGTGTTCTCAGGGTTCCTATTCTGTATAGATTCTCTGTTGATGTCTCAGTAAGTATGGTTGTGGGTATAGAGCTGGTCTGTGGTGGGAGGGTGGTACACTAAAAGCTTTTGACAGTTCGTGGTCTACCTTCTGGTCCATCTCAGTGTTGTTATGCAGCATTCTGGATGCAGAGGAGAAGGACGGATGTTGAGAATTTCCTGCTTAATCCTTCTTCTTTTATCCAGGTGGTAGCAAAGGAAGCCTGGGAAAACCACAGGCTGAGGAATGATTCTGTGATTGTGGACACTTTCCATGGCCTTTTCAAGTCTACTTTGGTTTGCCCAGAATGTGCTAAAGTTTCTGTGACTTTTGACCCGTTTTGCTATCTAACTCTCCCACTGCCTTTGAAGAAGGATCGAGTTATGGAGGTCTTTCTGGTTCCTGCTGACCCACAGTGCCGACCTATCCAGGTAACAGAATTCTTCTTCATGGTACCACTTGCTGAGCAGACTCTAGTCCCTGATGGGACTGCTTTCAGTCTGCTGCATGAAAAACTCCACTGACTGACCCTCTGTCCCTGGGTCCCCTTGGACTTAGTCTGTGTGTGCACCCTTGACCTCTCTCTGTCAGACTTTATGTAAACTCATTCATTGTTGAGGATCTGTTGTAAAGGTCCTTGGGGCTTCTCTGTCACTTTCTCATTGTTTTCTATTTATGAAATTGTAATAACCTGGTTTACCTGCTTAATGGTTTAAGGTCATTGGCTCTTCGTGTCCAATTCTTTTGGTGGCTCAAAGTGTTTTCACTTAGTCTTCTGAACTTTTTAAAAATTTCTTTTTTGTTTTGTTTTTCTTTTGTTGTTGTTGCTTTGTTTTTTTTTTTTTTTCAAGACACAGTTTCTCTGTGCAGCTTTGGAGCCTTTTCTGGAACTCACTCTGTATAACAGGTTAGCCTCGAACACACAGAAATCCAACTCCCTCTGCCTCCTGAGTGCTGGGATTAAAGGTGTGTCCTATCACTGGCCTGACACCCCACCACCCACTTTCTAAGCAAAGGCAATATTCTCTGGGTGTGATGGTGCACACATTTCCTCAAGGGGAGCAGAGGCAGTTAGAAAAGATCTCTGTCAAGTTGAAGCCAGCTTGGTCTTCATAATGAATTTCAGGCTAGCCAGGGTACACAGTGAGGCTCTGTCTCAAAAAGGAAAAGAAAGGAAGGTAATACATAGTATCAAAGGCAATTTCTATGCTTTGAACAATTCTTTAAAGGACATAAGAGGAGGTGCGACACACATGCCTTTAATCCCAGCACTCAGGCCAGCACTTGGGAGGCAGAGGCAGGAGGATGTCTGAGTTCGAGGTCAGCCTGGTCTGCAAATCCAGAGAAACCCTGTCTGGAGGGGGAGAGGGTGGAGAGTAGTGACCTAATCCAAAAGTAAAGTATAAACAAAAACAATGCTTGGGAAAGAAAGAGGTGGCTGACTGTGCCTGAATGTTGAAGCTTTGCTAATATCAAAGACTTGGCTCTGTCTACTTAACTCACCTGGGCCACACACTGCCTCTGGAAGGGTCTTTATGTCCCCATGATGTGTGCTTCTCCAAGGTCACTTCATGTCCCTTGGAGTACTCCTATCACCTTGCCTGTTTCTCCTTTGCAGTGCCGTGTGACTGTGCCATTGATGGGGGCCATATCTGACCTGTGTGAAGCACTTGCTAAATTGTCTGGCATTGCTGCAGAAAATGTAAGTGGCCCTTAACATGGCTAAGTCACTTCATGGCCCCTTGGAGTTTCCTTTCCAACTTTTAGCCACTTTTGGAAGGTTGTTATTGGACAGCACGAATGTCATCATTGGTGTATGTCTTGATTCCTCGTGGCTTCTGGCCTTGATCATGATCCCTTCCAGCACAGGGAAACACCATTTTTCCTCCCCTGCAATGATGCTGCCCATTGTCAGAGGGACAAGAGTAGGGCTCTGCTTCCATCATTGTGTGCTGTGTGGGGTGTGGAGACCAGCTCTGGAAAGCCACCGGGGTCTTTAGACAATGACAGTCTCTACCAGCGCTCGCTTCTCACCATGCCTACCACTGGAGGGCAGATGTTACCAGCATGCCAGTGCTGCTAACAGCCATGTTCCTCCCTTTCATGTCCTGGCCCTAGCCTTGGGACCACTCACATGGTGTTTCTCTGCAGGCAGCACTACAGAGGGGCATTTCCGCCCTTTGTTTCTGGGTTGTAATCAGTGAGTAGGAGCTCTGTGAGCCATCCTGTCATGTTTATGTACTTACTCTTGATTCTTAGATGGTGGTCACAGATGTATATAATCACCGGTTCCATAAAATTTTCCAAATGGATGAAGGTTTAAGCCACATTATGCCTCGAGATGACATTTTTGTGTAAGTACTTAGTAGTTTCTGATATATCACCAGAAGGACACTGTGGAGGCTTTGTCCTGTTTGTGTTCCCAGGTCTGACATCATTGCTCATGTGTATCTGTCCTAGTGCCTCCCAAGGGAAATGTACGTTCAGGAAACTGAGCATTTGTCAGTACTCAGAAGCATTGCACAAACACAGCTTTGGTCAGTTGTTTGTTTCTTAAAGAACTAGCTCAGTGGTTCTGCTCTCAGCTTCCTTGCTCAGTAAGAGTCATAGCTCTACCATGTACTGTTGGCGCACAACTTTAATCCCAGCAAACAGATCTCTGGGTTTGAGGCCAGCCTGGTCTACATGGTGAGTTCCAGGACAGCTAAGGCTACACAGAGAAACCCTGTGTCTCAACCCCATCACCACCCCACAAAGTCACGGCTGTATGAGAGACCAGGTCAAACAGAGGGCTGTAGTATAGAGGGATTTGGGCTCTGCTATGGTCTCTGATCCTGAGGCAGGTGTCATGGGGCCACAGTTCCCATCTCAGAAAAGAGTAGGTGTTGGCGGCTCAGGCAATCTCAGATATTTCAGCTTGCTCATCACCATGAAGACAGTGCAAAGTGCTGCTTTGTTGAAAAACAGGGTATGTGTCATTTTCCTGGGTACAGAGGTTGCAATGGACTTACTAAATTTTGTGGCTGCTCCAGCCAACCACTTGTTCAAGGGAACTTTACTACTGGCCCGTGGTAATTTCTATAATCCCAGCATTTGGGAGATTGATGCAGAAAGGTTTCTGTAAGTTCAAGACCAGCCTAGGCTACATAGAAGGTATAGGCCAGTCTTGGCTACCTAACAAGACCCTCTCAAAAACAATCAGCTTAGCTGGTAGAGTGTTTGCCTGGTATACACAAAGAACTGGGTTTGACCCTTATCACCAAATAAACCAGGTATGTTTGTAATCCCAGCACTTGAGGGTGGAGGTAGAAGGGCTAGAAGTTTTAAGGTTCTTCTCAGTTACATGGTAAATTTGAAACTTGCCTGGGAAATGAAAGGAGGGAAAGAGACAGAGACTGAAAATTCACTAATTTTAAAAAGTTCAACTTTTTAGTGAGAAAAGGTGAAGTTAGTAGATGGGTTCCTGAGAACAGCCACACTTTAAGTCTTTTGGGGGTTAGTCCAGAGTCTGGGCTGTGTAGATTCAACATGGGTTGACAGTGATCAATCTGTAATCACTGTGGAAATGGCTTATCTCCCTTCTGTTGAAGGTACTCTGTCCTTTATAATCACAATCCTCACCACCTTGCTGCTTATATCTGTCTTGCTGATGGGGCCTCTTCTATGGCTCATGCAGGTATGAGGTCTGCAACACTTCCATGGACGGCTCGGAATGTATCACTCTTCCAGTCTACTTTCGAGAGAAGAAGTCCAGGCCATCAAGTACTTCTTCTGGGGCGGTGCTATATGGACAGCCACTTCTCGTTTCTGTCCCTAAGCACAAGCTAACCCTCGAGGCTTTGTATCAGGCTGTTTGTGATCGTATCAGGTTGGTGCCAGAAGTGCAATTTGGTTGTTTTCTGAGATTAATGGGTCCATCTAGCAACTTTAGTCATTTGTAGTATGTCTGTTGATCCATTTACTCTCTTTTGTGAAAAATGGAATTGTGCCAGCCCCTGGGAGGGTCAGGGTAGAAGCTAAAGGGATGGAGTAATTGGCACATATAAGTACCATGAGCCAGGGTTTGTGCAGACCTCCGATTCCTAGAATCATATCAAGTATACTTAGATGGCACTCAGTTGGAAGAGTGCTTGCCTAGCATGCACAAAGCCCTGTGTTCACTCTCCACCACTCCATAAAGAAGGCATGGGTATAGTGTGCACCTGTAAGCTTAGCACTTGAGATGTGGAGGCAGGTGGGTCAGGAGTTAAAGGTTATTCTTAAATATGTAGCAAATTTGAGGCCATCCTGGCATGTATGGAACCTTGTTTCCAATAAAATTAAACAATGCACGTGACCCAGAAACCATGAAACTGGCCTTTCTTGGTATGTTTATGGGCTTATTAAGTTAACATGTGATTTCTTAGGTGCATCTTAATTTCTTGAACCGTTACATTATGTTTGTTAGTAACTGAATATATAAATTATGTACTGCTTCATAGCTGCATTGTGGAGAAAGAGTTAAAAGTTAATACTAATAGTCTTTTGTTTTTTTAAGCCGCTATATAAAACAGCCTTTGCCTGATGAGTTTCTCAGCTCACCCTTGGAACCTGGGGCCTGTAATGGCTCCAGGAGCAGCTATGAAGGTGAGCATTCCTGCTGTGAGGCTATGGTGCCTCAATTTCCCTCTTCTTGGAAGAATCTGAGGTGGGCTGGTAGAGGTCAGGGTCTCTTGGGAGTCATTGTTAACCTTTGTACTTTGTAGAGTCCTCTTAGAGCCCTGCACATACACATTGGGTTTCATCTCAGACACACTGAGCCTAGAGGGATTGGGTAACAAGGCTATGGTTATGAAATAGAGTCAGGATTTACTTGGTTGCCCTATGGTTGTGACCAGTACACCTTTTATCCCAGCACTTGGAAGGCAGAAGCGGGTGGGTCTCTGAGTTCCAGGCCAGCCTGGTCTACAGAGGGAGTTCCAGAACAACCTCTAAAGCAATACAAAGAAACCCTGTCTTGAAAAACAAAAAACAAAAAAATTTAAAAAATTTATTGGTTTTGCAGTGCTGGAGATCAGGGCTAGAGTCTTGAACAATCACTGACCACTGTGCTACCTCCCAGGCCTCCAGAATCAGAATTTAATTCTCATTGTTAGCATAGCCTAGTTGGTACTTACCTAGCATGTACCTGTGCAAACCATCCTGCATGGCTGGTGAGCCTTTAGTGCCCAAAGATGACAGACGTCCTGGTCAGCTAATCAGAAGATTGAAGCTGGCTATTTGGGGCATTTCTGTCTTCCTAGGAAGCTATAGTCAGTGGCTGACTTTAGGTTCTGGGAGAGAAGGAAATCAGTGTGGAAAAACAGTACAGTGTGTTCATGGCATCCCTTGTGGCCAGGTGCTGACGAGCCGTCTTTACCAAGGAGCACACCTGTCCTGCCGTGTAGTTGCTACTCTTCTTTTGGACACTTAGGTGATCATGTGCCTTTATGCCTCCCATAAATGCCCTCAAAGCTTTGGTTTTGGTGGATTTTTAAATTTTTTATTCATTACTCTTGTGTCTTATGTGTGCATAGTATGTGTGTGGGCATGTATGAATGAGGTTAATTTTTTGGAGTCAGTTCTCTCCATCCATCCTTGTGCAGGCTTTGAGGCACAAACTCAGATTACCAGGTTTATGCAGCAAATGCCTGTATCTCTGACCAGTCTAGACGACCCCCCCCCTTTTTTTCTAGCCAGACTGGGCTAGAACTCAATTTGTAGCCCATGCTTGCCTTTAGTTCCCAATCCTCTCTTCTCTCACCTAAGCCCTGGGATTGCAGGATTTTAAATAGACTTTTAAATTTTGTTCCTTGCAAAACTGTTTTATTGAGTGTTTCATTTTAGTGTGTTTTTGTCTGTGAACCTAATGATGAGGACAAGAGGGAACTACTTACAAAAGACTCATTAAAGTTCTCTGGGTCTCTGCTTCCTCATCATGGACTCCTAGCACACCTGTGTGCCCCTTGGGGACTGTCACATGTTAAACAAATACCTAATACGATAGAGGTGTATAAAGGTAAATGCACTTTAACATACACAGCAAAATTGGAAGAAGTAATAACACACTTAAGTATTAAATAAACATTTTATGGTTTATTTGTGGGTTTTGTTGTTTTGAGACCGGGTCTCATGTAGCCTAGGCCAGCCTCAAACTTGCTGTGTGTTTATGGCTGGCCTTGAACTCACTATCCTGCCTCAGCCTTCTGAGTGCTGGGGTTATAGATAGACATCACCATACCTGGCTAACTAAAAATCTCAACATTGACATATGGGACTCACATAGATTGTTTTTCATGTGCGTCAGGAGACGACGATGAAGAAATGGATCATCAAGAGGAAGGAAAAGAGCATCTGTCAGAAACAGAAGGCAGTGGTGAGGACGAGCAGGGAGATGGCCCTAGTGAGCCCACCCACAAGGTGAAGGGCCAGCCAGGGCACAGGAGGCTTTTCACCTTCAGTCTTGTCAACTCCTATGGCACTGCTGATATCAATTCACTTGCAACTGATGGGAAACTACTCAAACTCAACTGTAAGTGCTCTCTGATGCTCAGCTAGACTGACACACTGCCATCTCCCTGAAAGTCACTTTACCTGACACTCACTCCATCAGGTTTTAACAGCCTTTATGTAGTCAAGTGAGTCCCTTGGACAATGATTGAGGACACACACACCCTCCATCCTTCAAAGGGTTTTCACCTGACTCCTTGGGTAATGGGGCAGCAAGTGTGACACAAACACAAGCATGTTCCCCCGCTCCATTTGTTTGTTTATTTTTTGAGATAGGTCTCTCTGGCAGCCTTGGCTGACCTAGAACTCGTTTTGTAGACCAGGCCAGCCTTGAACTCACAGATCTACCTCACCTGTCTCTGCCTCCCAGGTGCTGGGATTAAAGGAGTGTGCCACCATTCTCTTGATTATTTTTATGTATATGTATATTTTATGTATATGATTGATGTTTTACCTACATGCATGTCTGTGCGCCACGTGTGTGCCTGGTGCCCATGGAGACGAGAAGAGGGCATTAGATCCCCCACAACTAAAATTACAAGTGTGAACCAACCACCAAGTGGATGCTAGGACCTGAACTTGGGTCCTCTATAAGAGCAACAAGTGCTATCTGTCTAGCTCCAAAAGATAGTCGTCTCTTGTAGGTCTGCATTGCCTCAGACTTACATGCTGGCCTCGAACTGCTTATCTTCTGTCTCCCTCATGAGCCCTTACATTCCAGGCACACACTACTATGTCTTGCTTTCACCTCTGTAACAACATTCCTCTGGCTCAGTGACACTTCTGTAGTCACGTTAGGAGCTTTTCTGTAGACTTGTTTCACTCATAAGAATGAGCTCATTATTCTCTTTGTCCCCTTAAAAATACTTAATCAAATATGATGCACTTAGAGGGTAGTTATAGATTTATGTATCAGTTCCATGGAGCTTTGTAATCGTGACAGCATCTCATCAGGAAGAGGACATTCATCATGATGTCTCCATGGGCAGGGGAGAAGCTGTACCCTTTTGTGTCTTTTGCCTTCTTTCTTTAGGACAGAAATTAAATAATTAACTATCAATCCTTCACCTTCCTTTTTCTGTCCCCCCCCCCTTCATTTTAATTTTAAAAGTTTTATTTCATGCGTTTGGGTGTTTTCCTGCATGTATGTTTATGCACATGTGTGTGTAGTGCCTCTTGTAGTACCCAAGAGGAACTAGAGCTGTAAGAACTTATCAGCCTCCCAAATTGAGTACTGGGGACTGAATGCGCTCCAGTATTCTACAAGAGCAGTAAATGACCTGAATCACTGAGCCACCTTCCTAACCTGACGCAACCCTTTCAGTTTTATTTTTTATATAAGTGGGTATTTTACCTTTATGTGTGTCTGTGCACCGTGTGTGCCTGCAGAGGCCAGAAGAGGAAATCAGATCCCTGGGACTGGAGTTTCACACAATCAAGAGCTGCCATTGGGTGCTGGGTCTTCTGGGACAGCAGACAAGGCTCTCAGCTGTTAACCCATCTCTCCAGCCTCCAGCTTTAACAGTTTTCAGTATTTAGTTCATAGTTCTAGAGACTGAACTCAGCGACTTGTACATAAAAGATCGGGGCTCTAGTACTAAACTGTAGTCCTAACCACACCCACACCCCCACACCCACATCCAAGACAGGATTTCTCTGTGTATGAGGTTTCTCTGTGCCTGTCTTGGAACTCTGTAGGCCAGACTGGCTTTGAACTCAGATCCACCTATCTCTGCCTCCAGAGTGCTGGGACTAAAGGTGTGCGCCACCATGCCTGTCCCTTTTTTGTTTTGAGATACAGGGTCTTAAAAAAAAATGTAGCCCATAATAACTGGTCTTGCTTACTCTGTAGCTGAGGAAGATCTTGAGCTCCTGATCTGCTTTTGCTTTCTAAAGACTGCATAGACCACCACACCCTGCCCTCAATTTTAGCTTTGCTTCCTTTCCTGGTGTCTGTCCAGGTAAACAGTTAGAAAACAGTTACTTTATCTGTTTTTCTGATGGTCCAGGCAGGAGGATAAGTCTGTTCCTAGTTACTCCTGCTTGCCTCTGCATATGTCCTGTCAGAATGCTGGGTACTGGAGTTCATCTGTAGCACTAAGGAAGTCGTGGTCAAAAAGTTTGGGAGGTTGGGGTTCAGAATGGCTGCCCCCAGGCCTAGTATTGCTCTCCTCTGTGTCTGGTGGTGGGGAGCAGATGTGGTACTGCCTAACTGTGGCCCTTCTCACTTTGGTCACTTGGAAAGCCTCTCTTGTTTCTGGTCATTCAATAATAAGTGACACTGTGATCCCCTCCACAGCTCGATCCACACTGGCCATTGACTGGGACAGTGAGACCCGAAGCCTTTACTATGATCAGCAAGAATCTGAGGTAGGTCATTTGGGGTTTGTGGTCAGTGCTCTGTGCTGGTTTCTGCTCTGGAAATATAGTAACAGTCCTCACACTGATTGGACAACAGTTTAACAAGTTTTTCTTAGGACTTGAAATGAAAAGCACCCAAGATTTTATCATTTTGTATTCAAAGGCTCCAGAAAGTATAGTATATTCCAGGCAGAGAACCCCTGTAGCTTTTTTCTTCTTTTTCTTGAGACAGGGTTTCTCTGTGTACTCCTGGCTGTCCTGGACCTCACTCTGTAGAGCAGGCTGGCCTCAAACTCAGAGATCTGTCTGCCTCTGCCTCCTGAGTGCTGGGATTAAAGGCGTGAGCCACCACTGCAAGGCTGAGCGCTTCAGCATTTTGAGCCAGTGAGATGGCTCTGCACCAGAGCTCAGTGCTTATTTCTTACAGGCCTGTGAGAAGCATGTGAGCATGTCACAGCCTCAGAAGAAGAAGAAGACCGCAGTAGCCCTCAGGGAGTGCATTGAGCTCTTCACCACCATGGAGACCCTCGGGGAGCACGACCCCTGGTATGCACTCCCATGCTCTGAGCAGGGGGAATCCATGGACCATAGGGGCTGAGGTTTCTTGGGACCATCTGTATGCACAGGACACCTTCTGTAGTTGGAGAGGTCATCTTTTTGCATAGCCAGGCCTATCATACATTTTTGTTTGTGCGGACTGTTTTCTGGACTAAAAAAGCCTGTTGCCTTTCTCAAGAACTACGCTTGACAGGTTCAGTTGACATGGCAGCTCACAACTGTTTGTAACTGCAGTTTCAGGAGATCCAACACACTCATGCAGACATGAATGCAGACAAAACACCAATGCACATAAAAGGAAATTAAATAAAATCTTGAAACTAGGGTTGAGTCCTGCCTGAAAGTAGCTCTTGTGACAGAGTAGCTGTGTCCCCATCTAAGTACACAGGTGGCTTCCAGCTGCCCTTGTCTTTTCTCCTCAGGTACTGTCCCACCTGTAAAAAGCACCAACAGGCAACAAAGAAGTTTGACCTATGGTCTTTGCCCAAGATCCTGGTGGTTCATCTCAAACGCTTCTCCTATAACAGATACTGGAGAGATAAACTTGACACAGTTGTGGAGTTCCCAGTCAGGTAGGAGTCCGAAGCTGCAGCGCTGACAATGGGCTTGGGGATCCATGCGCTCCCTCCCTCAGGGATAGGGGGAGGCTGTTTGAGTTAGGTTGTGTATTGCTTGGCTCTGTGAGGTTCAGCAGTCCTTCCTCCCCCACTAGTGGGAAACATCCCCGATAGAACAGTCCTGCAGGCTGTCTGTGGCACTGCTGGTCCTCACAGGATCATGGCCAGGGTCGCCTGCGCAAGGGAATTGGTCCTCAGGTGGCTGTGGTTGTGTCTGCTTGTAATCCTTGGCTAAGTCAGGATTACAAGCAGGAGGGTCATTGAGTGCAGATTCAAGGCTACCCTGGTAATTAAAGATTCTGTCACCTGCTTTGTTTTGTTTTGTTTGTTTTGTATTTGAAACAGGGTTTCTCTGTCCTGAAGCGCCCGCTTAGACCAGGCTGGCCTTGAATTTAGAGACCTACCTGCATTTGCCTCCTGAGAGTTGGCTGTGATTAAAGCCAGCACTGCCTCACTTTTCTTTCACCTTTTCTGTATTTTTGAAAATTTCAAAGTGGGCCCTTGAGATAGCTCATAGAGTAAAAGCACTTGCCACACAAGCCTGATGACCTCAGGCTGATCCCTAGAGGCCACAGTAGGAGAGAAGCAACTCCTGTGTCCTCAGACCTCTGTACCTGTGACATGGCGTTGATGGCTGCACTCAGTTACTCACTCAAACATATCATACACATACACAATGATAATAACAAAGAAAATTTCAAAATACAGTAAAGCTTCCCAGGGCCTGCTCTGACATTTAAATGCTGTGGCCTTGGTTGCAGTTCTGTTAGGAATGGCCTCCCTATTCAGGGGCTGAAGCCCTCTTTGGCATCTCCTTACACCTGCCGAAACCCACGTGGTGTGGTAATATCATGACTTGGACCTCCCCAGTTTCTGGTCTAACAAATGGTCGGTCATTCTGCCCTGGTCTGTCTCTTTTCACATAGTATAGCTCTTCCCTGTGCTCTGGTCTGTTGGATGAAGGGGGTTGCAGGGCTGCAGAGGTTAACGTATTCATGGGCTATTATGTTTTTTACTCAGAGGTCTGAACATGTCCGAGTTTGTCTGTGACCGGTCAGCAAGGCCTTATGTTTATGATCTCATTGCTGTGTCCAATCACTATGGAGCCATGGGGGTTGGTCACTGTAAGTATTGGTATCTGCTTCCTTCTGAGGTATGGAAATGCCCTGCCTGGTGTTCTCTCAGTGTCTTTTCTGAGTGCCAGGCACTGCCATAAGTCCTGACTTGAGTCTCCCGCTGTGGGCTTTCTCAGTCCTGCCCTCCCCACCCATTCCTTCTAAATTGTCTTAGTCTTTAATTCCGTAGTGCTAACTTTGTGAGTTGTTTTGTTTTTTCAAGATAGTCCCACTATTAGTTCACTGGCCTGGAGCTCCTCATGTAGTGCAGCCAAGGGAATCTGGTACTCCTGGCATTCCTCCCGTAGCCTCTCCAGTAGGGGTTACAGGCATGAGCACCATGCTGGGTTTACCTCTGGGACTCTCCTAAGAAAATGACACAACAACTTTATGCACGAAAACATTCACCCCTTTGTTTTGATTTTTCCAGCCAAGGTTTCTTTGTATAGTCCTGGCTGTCCTGGAACTAGCTTTGTAGACCAGGCTGGCCTCAAACTCAGAAATGTGCCTGCCTCTGCCTTCCAAGGTGTGCACCACTGCTATCTCATTCAACCTGTTTTGTTTTGTTTTTAGTATTTTCGAGACAGGGTTTCTCTGTGTAACAGTCCTGGCGCTCACTCTGTAGACCTGGCTGGTCTCCAACTCACAGAGATCCGCCTGCCTCTGTCTCCCAAATGCTGGGATTAAAGGCGTGAGCCACCTGTTTCTAACAGTGGTGTTAGTAACAGCATTCGGTAGCACGCTAATACTGCTGGTCAGGGCTTGAGCAGAGAGGTTTGTGTTTTGGTTTTTTAAAAATAATTCATTTACCTTTATTTTAGCTCATTGGTGTGAAGGTGTCAGATTACCTGGAACCAGAGTTACAGACAGTTGTGAGCTGCCATGTGGGTGGTGGAATTGAATCCAGGTTGTTTGGAAGAGCAGCCAGAGTGCTCTTAACCACTGAGCCATTTCTCTAGCCCGAGCAGGGAGTTCTTAGCTGTTTCAAAATACCATGGGGAAGTGGCCCTCATAACTGAAAAAGGTATATAGAATTAGTGTCGCTACAGAAGTAGTATCCCAGCTCTGCAAAGTCAGTAAGCAGAGAAAATCAAGGGTGCAGGGCCATAGAATGAGAGGTGCCAAAATTAGTTCATTTTTGGTTTAGACAGGATTGCACTATATAGGCCAGACTGGCTTATAATTTTCCAGGTAGCACTTGATGGCCTGTTACGAGATGATGGGTATACACAACCATACTCAGCAAAAAATAGTATTTTTTTTTCTTTTGCCCTATTTTCCAAAATTTCTATTAACATTTAGGTTCACTTTAATGGAAAGTTTTTTGTGTTGTTTAGACAAGATCTTAGTGTGTAGCTCTGAGAGTCAGAATACTTAACACTAATCCTCCTGCCTCGCCTTCCAGCTGTGTTCTTGTTATAGATGTACCAATTTTGATGGGGCATTGCCTTCCTCCAGTGCTGGGGATAGAATTTAGAGCCTTGTACATTCTACATAAGTAGTCCGGCCACCACAGATTCAGTCATAACTGTAGAAAAGAGAGATGTACGGCTTCTTACTTATCTCCCAGCTCTGCAAATCCAGTGGTCACTGTTTCCAACCAAAGTCCCCTCTTGGCTCCAGTGAGCGGCACCAAGAACACTCTGCTGAAGATGGTAGCCATCTGCTCTTGTTTGGCTTTGTCTAAGCACCAGCTCCTACGCCGAGTCCCTCTGTGGCTCTGGCTATACTTATGGCCATGTTTGCTTATCTGAGGTACTGATGAAAATCTCTGGCAGGTGCTCTATCACTGCACTGTCTCCAGCACTGATCATAGCTCTTAAGTAGACACTGGGGCAGCTAGAGAGATGGCTCGATAGTGGAGAGCGCTGTTCTTCCCGAGAACCTGAGTTCAGTTCCCGGCACCACATCAGGAGGCTCCCAGCTGCCTGTAACTCCAGCTCTAGGTATTCCAGCACCGCCGCCACCCTCCATGTAATTAAATAGTAGATGTCTATTAAGAAATAGACAAAGTGGCCAGGCGGTATGTGCACGCCTCTAATCCCAGCACTCAGGAGGCAGAGGCAGGGGGATTTCTGTGAGTTTGAGACCAGCCTGGTCTACAAGAGTGAGTTCCAGGACAGCCTCCAAAGCCACAGAGAAACCCTGTCTCAAAAAACCAAAAAAAAAAAAAGAAAGAAAGAAATGGACAAAGTTGAGTGTGGTGGTGTACACCTTTAATCCCAGTGCTGAAGAGGCAGAGGTGGGTGAATATTTGAGTTTGAGGCCAGCCTGGTCTACAGAGTGAGTTTCTGGATAGCCAGGGCTACACAGAGAAACAAACAAAATTATTGTATATGTATATGTATATTAGTTATATAATTTGGTGGTGGTGGTTTTTCTGTTTGAGACATGGTCTTACTATGCAACCCTGCCTAGATTTGTCCAGGTTGGCCTTGTACTGGGGTCAGTACTCCTGTCTTCTTCCTGGGTGGATTCACACTGGCTATATGTTGCTCTTAATTTTAGTATTAATATTTTTGTGTTTGAGCATGTGCTTATATTTACTGCTAGCCTGATAAGATAACCAGATTCTTTCCAGTGGCCATTAGAGCATTTTGTTTGTAACTTGGCAGACACTGCATATGCAAAGAACAAACTGAATGGGAAATGGTATTACTTTGATGACAGCAATGTATCTCTGGCTTCTGAGGATCAGATAGTGGTGAGTACCCACCCAGATACACACTCCCCCGTTATCTTAAATAAAAGCCAAAAAAGGTCTTGTGAGGCCGTATGGTTACTTCATGATCTGGGTGTAGAGTGGACTGCCTGCCACTCATGCCAAAGCTTTCCTAATGGAGAACTTGCTTTTCTTAGAGGTACTGTCACAGTAACCCTGCACTTGCCCACAGCCACGGCCGCGGCGTCAGGCGGCTCACAGCAGGGCCTTAAAGGGAGAGCCTTTAAGGCTGCTCCCAAGGGTGGGTGGCAGATGGCTCAAGTGCCTGCTCACTCCTTCACTCTTGCTCGCTCATTGGGGTCGTCTCTTCCTGCAGACCTGTGACTGCTCTGCACTCACTTTGTGTGTCGGGCTAGTCTCAAACTTAAGGTGATTCTCCTGCCTCTGCTTCCTGAGTGCTGGAATAACAGGTTCATGTCACCACATCCAGTTTAAGATTGAATTTTTTGAGACAGTTTCACTCTGAAGCCCAGGCGGGCTTTGGACTTGGGGAAAAAATCCTCCTCTCTCAGGCTCTCCCTCCACTTGCTGAGCTCATAGGCAAGAGCTACCATGATGAGTTTAATAGCAAGAATGGCGAGGATGGGGTGGGTGAGTTTGTTACAGTGAATGGATTCTCCCCCTTCCTTGTGTTTTAGACGAAAGCTGCCTACGTGTTATTTTATCAGCGTCGGGATGATGAATGTCACAATGCACCTTTGCTCACCAGTTTCCCCGGCTCTTCTGATGGAGGGATGAGGCTGGGCAGCTCACAGCAGGGCCTGGGGGATGATGAGGCTTCCAGCATGGACACCAACTGATGCTGACTCAGCAACCCCACCACCCCACAGCACCAGTGCCATCCCCCAGGAGAGTGTCTTTGGCCCTCTCGAAGACAGCTCATATCAATCTAAGAACCAGATGAGGAAATTACCTTCTTTTATGAGAAGAATTTAAAAAAAAAAAAAAAAAGACCCTGCTTTCTCAGAAGGGTTATGTTAAGAGGCTGAATTATTTTTCTTTCAGATGGGTGGTGAGATAAACCTGTGGAGCTGAAATGTGGGGTGGGATTTGTTACACAGTGCAGTGTGTCTCGTGGATTCCAAAGAATGGAGAGGAACACCCTGTCATTGAGTATGGTGCAGCCATGAAGACCCATGCAGGGCTGCTCTGAACTCCTGGGTTTGGGGTTCTGGTGCCCATACTGGTCACCCTAGTCGTCTGGCCACAGTAAACCAAGCCTCCAGGAAACTTGATGTTGTCTCGAGTTCTTTGCTCTTCACTGAGATCGGTTTATGGTTTTCTAAACATTAGCCACTGGAACCCATTTCTATTCTCTGTTCTCTCAGAATTTCCTGGTTGCTGGGGGTCTTGTTTTCAGTTTCTCATGGAACCTTGAAGTTCTGACTCCACTGCCCTTGATAAACAGACTGATTCTATATGGAACTTTCATTACCTCTCCCTTAAAAATAAGTCCATTCATAAAACTGGGTGCAGTCTGTGGCATTGCTTCTCCATGTTGGCTTCAGAAGAACACGATAGGTGGTTGTCAGGTCTTCAAAACACTCTAGTTAATGAGGTTTAAGAAAATGTGTTTTTTTGGGCCAGGCGGTGGTGGCACAAACCTTTAATCCCAGACTCGGGAGGTAGAGGCAGGTGGATCTCTGTGAGTTCGAGGCCAGCGTGGTCTCCAGAGTGAGTTCCAGGATAGCCAGGGCTACACAGAGAAACCTGTCTCTGAAACAACCGCCGCCCCTGCCCCCAAAGACAACACTTTTTTAGTAATAGATCCCTTCAGACCCGATTCTCACCTTTATCCTGCTGTTACTACTCCCCTAGTCGCGTACTCCTTACTCCCTGCGTGCTAACCGGCCACCTTCCTGGGTCTTAGTTGCCCCCTGTGTTCAGGTCATGTGAGTCTTGACCGACCTTTAACCTAGTACGTGGGAGTTGGGAGCGCTGGTTTGGGCACGTGAGCGCAGTGACCGTTGGGCACTGTTGTGCGGCCACGGTTGGGTGAGGACACAGCGGGGCTCCTTCCGGCCTAGGTTGGCCATAGTTTGGGGCAGTAGGGGCGGCGGGAAAGGCCTAGCGGGAAACCAGCTAAGGAAGCGTGGGGGTTGAGGGAGGCGAGGCGGGTTTCAGGCTCTCGCTGCTGTCTGGGGCCCTCTGAGAATGGCGGGCAGTCGTCCCCCCTGGAAGAAAAGGAAGGAGGATGAGGTGTGAGCCTAGATCAAACTGGAAATCGGGGGTGAATCTCGGCCTTTTGTTTAGCATCATTCTCGCGTTGTTCTGTGCAGTTCCGTTTATTACATAATAAGAGGCACGGTCGCTTTCAGGAAAATGTCTGAGAAACTCCGAAGATGCAGGAAGGAGCTGACTGCAGCCATAGACCGAGCCTTTGAAGGAGTCCGGCATTCCCAGGAGTGCGCGGGCCCGCAGAGGCTGGACGCCCCGTCGCTAGCCTCTGTGCCGGTGCACAGGCTGCTCTGCAGAAACCCGCTGGCCGCCTGCCCGTCTGCTGCCCCCTGCGCTGGGACCTCATGTGCTCCTGAGATTGAGAGCCCTGTCTTTGCGCCACACCATGTCCCAGTTAATGCAAAGCCCCTTCCTTTATACCCCAAAAGAAAACCTCTGACCAGCAAGGAAAATGTGTTGATGCACTCTTCCATTTTGGCACGTGAAAGACAGTTTTGGAGAGCTGCAGGAGATGGGGAAAACTGGAGAAAAGAAAGTTTAAGGTGATTCTAATTTAATAGCATCAATTAGGGAAAATTGTATCTTAAAAAAAAATGAAGATCCCAGATTTGATTCTTTAATAAGCTAGCCTTCTCTTGGGAGTGCTAAGAGTCTTACAGGAAATTCACACACATTTTTCAGAATCTGGCCCAACAGTTATGTTTTATTGTATGTATTTGTGGTGAGTGGTTGAAAGCTCTAGATATCCAAACAGTCATAGAAACTATGACACCCAAAGGGTAATCAGTGTTAAATAATTACTGTTAAATGTGTGGGTAGTGTTGAGGATTCAACCAAGGCCTCATGCATTCTAGGGCAAACATTCTACCACTGATCTGCAAGCCTTAGCAATGTTTTTCTTACACTTTGAGGGGTTTCCAAATTTGTATTTTGTATGTGTGGCTATTTTGCCTGCAAGCATGGCTCTGCACCACACGTAGTGCCTGAAAGGCTAGAAGGCTGTGGCATTGTATCCCCTGGAACTAGTGTTAGCTGTCATGGAGGTGCTGTTTGTCTAGAAGTACAGCCAGTGCTCTTAACCGATGAGCCATCTCTGCTGGGCCATGGTGGCTTTGATCCCAGCACTCAGGAGGGAGGCAGGTTGGATCTCTGTGAGTTCAAGGCCAGCCTGGACTGCAAAGCAAGTTCCAGGACAGCCAGGACTACACACACAGAAAACCTATCTTGGGGGGAAAAAAAAAAAGATTCGCCATCTCCAGCTGGTGATTTTTTTCTAATTTTTAAATTTTTATTAGTGTGTGTGTGTATACATATACATATACATAGTGTATATGTGTGTGGCTTGAGTGTAGTCAAAGGAAAACCTTCAGGAGTTGATTCTTTCCACTGTAGGTTCAGGGATCCAACTCAAGTCATCACGATTATATTTGCATTGCTGAGTCACTTTGCCAGCCTATTTTTGCTTTTTTAAAGACAGTCTAAAGTAGACCATCTGGCTTTCAACTCCTGTGTAGCTGAGGGTGACTTAGAACTCGGACTTCTGTTTCTGAATCTCAAGTGTAGGGATTAGAGGCATAAATTACCAGTCCTGAGTGATCTGATGTAAAAGAAACACTACAGTATGCTGCAGAAACAAAAGTAACCCACACCAGCTTCTGTGTTCAGAGCCTGGGCACTAGCCTTTGTCTTCCTCTGCCCACACTTAGATCCATGGCTAGGCCCTACTTCCTGGCTTTGTCTTTGTTTCAGTCAGGTGGTTGTGGCACACGCCTTTAATCCCAGCACTCGGGAGGCAGAGGCAGGCAGATCTCTGAGAGTTCCAGGCCAGCCTGATCTACAGAGCGAGTTCCAGGACAGCCAGGGCTACACAGAGAAATTCTGTCTTGAAAAAGGAAAACAAAAGGAAACAACGTGACTATCTCCTTTAGATACACTAAGTAGCTACAAACTGCCCCTTCCCAGGCACCTTGACTTAGAGCAGGGGTGATTGTATGTGATGTGACTTAGATGTGTGGCCGGCCATCCTGCCTGTCCCAAAGTCAAGGAATTGAGAAGCCATTTAACTGCAAATATATGTGTCGGTTTCGTAAACATTAATGCAGCTTGTAGTGGAATGTGTCACTATGTTGTTGTTCTTGGTTTCTTCACTGATTTAGATTCTGGTTAGTCTCATAGCATAAAAGGTAAATTTTAGTCTAAGCCGGTCATGGTGGCGTGTCTTGAATCCCAAGCACTCAAGAGGAATGGAGGTTTCTGAATTTGAGGCCATCCTGGTTTACACAGTTAACTTCCAGGCCAGCCAGGGCTGTGTAGTGAGACTGTCTTAAAACAACAGGGTCTAGAGAGATGGCTCAGAGATTAAAATCACTGGCTGCTCTTCCAGAGGTCCTGAGTTCAATTCCCAGACACCACATGATGGCCCACAGCCATCTGTAGTGAGATCTGATACCCTTTGGCATGTAGACAAACATTCCGGCAGAACACTATATACATAATCAGTTGTGTTTTGGATTATCTGAAGTTTTTCAACTGAAATAATATCTAATCCCCCATCTTCTACCCCTCCCCACACCCAATCGGGACTGCAGGAAGGATATGGAGAGAGACTTAAAAGTTGACTCAAATATGCTGCTCAGCAGTTCTAGCCAAGAGGTCACAAAGGATCTGCTAGATATGATTGGTAAGTAGAGAGCTTCCTTGGTCCTTCACACAGGCTACGAGTCCACATATCTTATTTGGTAAATTTAGTTTCAGAACTGTGAAATAATTAGTATTTCCCCTTTCTTCATCGAACCAGTAACCTAGTGAAAGGCCACAGGCCCATAAGATCATTACCCAAGTGTCTGTAATGATCTGGGGTTCCTGGAGGAACAGATAACAGCCTCTAGGCCTTAGTGCTTGAGCAAAGAGCTGAAGGAAATGGGATCCAGGCCTAAGGAGGAAGCGATAATAAGTAGTCCACCCAGGGGGGAAACACAACAGTGGAAGAAATCTTTCTTGTAGCCACCTGCCTTTAATTTCAGCACTTGGAAGGCAGAGGCATGCAGATTTGTATGAATTTGAGGCCAGCCAAGGCTGCAGAATGAGACACTGTTGCAATGAATAAAATCTCTTATCTCCCTGGAAGTAGCCACTTAGTATAGAACTGTATGTCCTATTAGTTTTCCTTTTGAAAAAAATTTTTTTTCTTTTTTGAGGCAGGGTTTCTCTGTGTAGTTTTGTAGACCAGGCTGGTCTCAAATTCAGAGAGATCCACCTGCTTCTGCCTCCCTAGTGCTGGGATTAAAGGCGTGGGCCACCACTGCCCAGCTGAAATATTTTTATTATTTTAATTATGTATATGTCTGTGTGTGGAGTTTTTTGTTGTTTTTCGTTGTTTTGTTTTTCAAGACAGGGTTTCTCTGTGTTTCCCTGGCTGTCCTAGAACTTGCTCTGTAGACCAAGCTGGCTTAGAACTCACAGAGATCCACCTGCCTCTGCCTCCCGAGTTCTGGGATTAAAGGTGTGTGCCACTCCTACTGCCCGGCTAAGCGGCTAAGCTTTTCTTTTTCAAACAGACTCTGACTAGGCAGGCCAGGGTGATCTGGAATTTGTAATCTTTCTGCTTGACTCAGAATTCTGAGTCCTAGGATAAGTGTTCAGCACCACACCCAGCAGTCAGATCTTTATACTGCACACATTTTGTATCTGCATGTTCTCTGAACTGTGTGTCCTATTCTAACTGACTCATTGCACAGTGGACCAGCAGCTCCTGGTTAAGGGATACATAGCCTCAGGCATTGCCAGAAACTGTTGACATGGAAGAATCTCCATGTTAGCAAGAACCCAAGGGAGGTCTAACAGGGGACTCAATGTTGGGCCCCAAATCCTCTCTGTAACTTTGGAAGACTGGCTGTCCTCTGATGGCCCCAGGACATAAGCTCAAGTCATCGCTGCTTCTGCTTGGACCTCCCAGCACCAATCAGCTTTCTGATTACCCTAAATGTCTTGCTTTTCATACCATCTTATCACCCCCCACAGGTCAGAGTGTTCTATAGAAGCAGGAACAAGCATGTATATTCCGTTTATACCTTTCTTGGGAATGGGCAGATAATTGGGGCTGGATGAATTCTGGGGTGTAAAAGGAAGGTATCAGGCCCACCTTAACACTGGTACTCACTTGCGTGTGCTGGGGTGGGAATGCCTCGTTCTGCATGCCTCTGGAATGCTTATCCATTTATGGTTTGTGTGTCTATTTGCTTGCTAGCTTGTGGTAGTATCAAGCTAGACAAAGGTTCTTTCACCAGTATTGTATTAGTTTTGTGGTTTTTAACTTATCCCTGAAATGTTCTCAGAAACTTCTAAGTAAAACTATAAAGCGTAATGTCCTTTTGTTGTTGCTTTAAGACCATACAAGTATCCGAACTATCGAAGAACTGGCTGGAAAACTAGAATTTGAAAATGAATTAAACCGTGTGTGTGGACGTTGCCAAGATTCACCCCTGAAGGAGGAGGCCTGGGCCCTGCTTGTGGACGAGAGCCCTCGGAAGGCTTTGGATGCTGACCCTGGTAGCCTCAAGCAGGCTTTTGATGATCAGAATATTGTTGAGACTGTTCTGGACTTGGAGGAGGACTATAACTTGATGACCTCTTTTAAATACCAAATAGAGTAGGAGAGTTGATTTGCAGCAGCCACATGGTTATCAGAAGCCAGTCTGTACAAGGGGTTGGCAGAGCCGGAATTGCTGCATCCTATTTAATTCCTGCTGAATTCCTGGGCCTTAATAGTCTGTGATTCTGAAATGTTTGGAGTTTTTGACTTGATAATTTTTAAAGTGTGTTTTTGATTGGTATTCAATATATGCAATACCCTTGGTAGGTTATGCCTCTGCTCTTTCTCCTCAAATTCTTTTATACAGAAAAGTATGGGAACTGTGACCAGGGTGGGTTTGTCACCTGGGACTAGCCCACCACAGGTAAGCTTGATTCAGAAGAGCCAGGCTTGGCTTGGGCCCTCTGTTACCTGTATCCTCTGCTCTCTTCACACACTGCACACAGGGATCCCTGTTTTCCTGTGGTCATGCTTTGCTCATGCCCTGATTTACCTACCTCCCTTACCTTCCTGTCCCTTCCCTACCCAGAGCGGTGCCCCTGTGCACATCTGCTTGAATCAGTTTCTGGTAGGATCCCAGGCTGTCTCCTTCAGAACCTAATGAATCCTCCACAGACATGTGGACCCTGTTGAGGTGGTTAGCAAGGTCAGTACAGGTTTACCTATCCACCATGGCCCCTGAACCGCACCATCCCACCATGCTGAGCCAAGACAGAGGAGGGACTAGGCCACTGTCCTCCTGAGGTCAGCACATCAGAAAAAAAAAAAAAAAAAAAAGTGTGAGGCAAGATGATTCAGTTATTTTAACAGCTATTTTAGTCTTGGGATCTGGCTCAGTGGTACTTGACTGTGTATGCAGCAGAGGCCGGGTACCACTTCATCTGGCAATCTCAGCACACCTAGCCACTTTTGTCAAATGGAACTCTGTGATGCGTGCTCACTGGGTTCCACCAGGGATGGCCTTGGGCATTGCTTGCCTGAGGCAAGAGAAAAGGACAAGTCTAACCAGTGGCTGCTCTTAGCTAACCTCTGTTTAATCCCTACAGGAGGGAGCAGATTCAGTAAACACAGCCTGTGGGTTAGAGGTCAGACGTGGAAGGCTCAGGTTGTTCTAGATGGAGGGACGTCAGCCTATTTGAGACTCATGTCCATAAAATACTTCTCAAGCCAGCATATTGCTTAACTATGTAGAAGTGAACTTTGGTTTTTTTTTAATTTTTATTTTACTTTTCAGAGAGACAGTATATATTCCTGGCTGTCCTAGAACTCTCTATGTAGAACAGGCTGGCTTCTAACTCAACAATCTGTCTCACAAAGGTGTACAACAGCAAACTCCACAGATGTAGAGGTAATTCCTGCCCTTACCTCTTTCCCCATCATAACCCACCCTTAAGGATGAACTAGAGTTGGTAACCCTTTTGATTTTTTGCTTTTTTGCTTTTTGTTTTCCTGTATAATCCTGGCTGTCCTGGAACTTACAGAGATCCTCCTGCCTCTGCCTCCTGAATACTGGGATTAAAGGCATGAACCACTACCATCCTGCTAGACTTGGTTACCCTTATCCAAAGACTAAAGAGGGTAAAATCACTGTAAACTTAGAATGGAGAAAGCTGCAGACCTGACAAATCATGAGAGTTTCCATCACTAGTAATGCCATGTAGACGATAGAACAAGAAGATAGGTGTGGTGGTGCATACCAGTATTCATAGAACTTGGGAAGCTAAGCAGCATGGCAAGTTCAGAGACCAGCCTGGTTCATGCAGTGAGGCCCTTTCTCAAAAAATGAAAAGGAGGGCTGGAGTGATGGCTCAGTGGTTGAGAGTACTTGCCCTTTACAGAGGGGCCCATGAGGGTAACTACAGCATAGTGCAGTGGCTCTCAACCTGTGGGTTGTGACTTGCAGGTTTGACCCTTTCACAGGAGTCACCTTAGACCATTGGAAAACACACTTTACAATTCATAACAGTAGCAAAATTACAGTTATGAAGTAGCAGCAAAATTTTATGGTGGGGGTCACCACATGAACTGTATATTAAAGGGTCACAGCATTAGGAAGGTTGAGAACCACTGCCATAGTGTGTTGAATGCCAATTTCAAAAAAGTGCTTTATCTGTGATACACTTACAAAACCCACAGTCCTCAGTCTGTAACCATGAGGCAAATGTTAGACAAACCCAGACAGGATCTTCTAGAATCCCTGACCAGAATTTCAGGATTGTCGAGTTCACAAAACTAGGATTCAGAACCTTTCACCAGCAGGACTAGGAAACATGTGAATCCTGGATTGTTTGCTAGCACATTAAGGGACATTTACATGAGTGAAATCTACATGAAGGCTGGGGTTTAATGTATTGATGCTGCTTTCCTGGCTTTGATAACTATCAGTTATATGTCAACACTGGGAAAGCTGGGCAGAGTTTACATATGCTCACTATATTTGAAGTTTTCTGTAAATCTAATGTTATTCCAAAATTTAACATTTAAAAATGCAGTCAACTGGGGCTGGAGAGTTGGCTCAGCAGTTATGAGCACTGGCTGCTTTTCCAGAGGTTCTGATCAATTCCCAGCAACCATATGGTAGATCACTATAAATAAATAAAAATTTTTAAAAATGCAATCAACTCCCAACTTTTTTTTAAAATGTATATCCAAAAATTTGTCCAGCCTTGTCTATAGAGTGAGTTCCAGGACAGCCAAGGCTACACAAGAGAAATTCTGACTCAAACAGCAACAAAATTATAGGGAATCATCAGAGAATTAGTTTTATAAAATAGTTTCTATTTTGCTAGGCAATGGTGGTACAAGCCTTTAATCCCAGCACTCGGTAGGCAGAGTTAGATGGATCTCTGTGAGTTTTAGGCTACCCTGGTCTCCATACAAATGGAGTTCCAGGACAGCCAGGTCTGCACAGAGAAACCTTGTCTCGGAAAAACAAACAAAAAACAGAAATGTGTCTGCAAATCAACCCCTGAACTCAGACATACTGGGCAAGCACTTTTCAGTAAGATTCATTCACAGCCCTAAGACATTTTTGCTCTATATCCACATCTCCATCAAGGAATCATGGGTATCTGTCACTAGGTACCTATCTGTCACCAACTGTCAGTTTGTGAGAACTGAATGGATGGATTCCAGGGCTACACAGGACTCCAGTAAGACGGCTGTCCTAAGGGTACTGGATCCTCAGGCTGGCTGTCCCAGTTGAATTAACTGGTCTGTGTGTACTCTGTAGCATTTCCGGCTTTGAAGGGGAGGTGGCTGCAGTGGATGAGGACAGAACTTAACTGTGGAACACTTTGAAGTGACAGGTTTGTTTTTTTTATGGGGTGATTAGCCCTGAGGAATGTGGCCCAATACAAGGAGAAGATAGAGAAGGAAGGATAGATGATTCAGGTTCCCTCTGGTAGATATACTTTGGTTTTGTTTTAGCTAAGGCTTTATGTGAAAATGTCTAAATGGGGAATACATTTCCTCACGGTAGAAACAGATGTTTGGCAAAGCAGGCAAGCCCCAAGTCTCTGACAGGCCAGCCCCGGATACTCAGGTGGACACACAAACTTCAATTGTTTAAATCCCCTGGCTCCATAATTTGCCCCTAACAGCCCTTCCTGCCTGTGTCATCTGCTCAGCGGGGAAGAGGAGGAACTGTGTTTCAGGAATTTGCTGAGAGGATATAGGCGCTTAAAATGTAGCGTTTAATAAAACTAAAGGGTTTCAGGCTCCAAAGGCATTCATGATGTGTGACAGTTGACCCTGGTCATGTCTGAGAAACTTTAAAATGTTTGACGTCATTTAGCTCCCTCCCCCGCAGTTCATCTTGGCACACCAATCACTGAATTGTTTCCGTGGAAACACCAAACTGCAATTTGGATTACGAGAACCAAAATAGAAACAAGGCAAATTGAAGAATAAATAGGAACAGTGGAACCTGCTAGCTGGAAACTGCAAATGCAAATCACAGCTTAAGGTGTATGAGAAGCTGGGCCCATCCACCCTTAGGGTTTTCAGGTTCTGAATCTGCATCCCACCAAGATGCTAGAGTCAAAGCTTTGGAATTAGACTGGTAGACTCTGAGAAGGCAAGAGCTAATCTGTAGATGTCCCTGAAACAAAAGGTTGGAGGGCTGGAGGCAGCCTGCTGCAGAGAGGGTTGGAGAGCAGGGGAAAGACACACCAGGCAGGGGCAGAACAGCTGTTGTCAGAACTTGAAATTGTGACACTGCCCTCAGACCAACTGGCCGTGCTCTCCACACTCCCCAGCATGGCTGCCCCTGGCTACCTTGATCTAGTTTAAGACCCTGCCCTTGATGTCTGCTGAGGTGAGTGCCAGGGCACCTATGAGCATGCCTTTGTGCCTGTGCCAGAGAGGGCCTTCCATCAAGCACCGGAAACCTGACTTCTCATCTCTGGCTCTCAGGGTTCCCCAACTCAGGGAATAGGACAGTGACCTCTGTCCTACTTTCCCTAACTCCTTGGCCTTCTCTTGGGCTTTCCCCTTTTAACCTCAGAGAAGATTCCAGAAGAATCAAGAGAACAGTTTGGGTTGCCTACATCCTTCACATTTACGCCCAGAACAAGCTAGTAGGATATTAAGGCCATCCTGACAGAGGTGAGATTGTAAGATGTTAATGTTCAAGGAAGACTGATTTGTGAAAAGGGCTCATCTAGGACCTATGTGGTACTTCTCTATGAGGAAGTACCGTTTCAGGAAAAAAAGAGAAAACAGGTAGGAGTCATGTAAATAGGGAGGCTTCATGAAGAAGCCATTTTCCTAATTGCCTGAGTGAGAATTGTTGAAAAGACTGTCATCCCCAGATCCCAGATCATGTAAGGTTCCGGCAATTTTTCTTCTTGGTGTGGGAGAACATTACTATTTTAGGTTCCAACTAAGTATTTACAGAAGGAACAAAGTTTTACTCAGGAAATGTATTCAACAATGGACCCAAGCCCTAGTGTGGAAGAACTCTGTCCTAAACTGTCTGAAAAAAATTAAAGAGTTTTGGCCTATGACTGACTTAAAAAAAAAAAAAAACTAAATTACAAACCTATCCAGGGAGAGCAGTGGGCACACTGGGTGAAGGAAGAGCTGCTAGGAATTGTCTATGAGGGACAAGGGCACGAACAGGAGCCTTTTGGAGCTTCTGAAGGAAGGGCAACAGAGGAAGGAGGGGCAGCAAAGGGGTTCTGCAAGGCTCAAATGTCAAGACGGGGCTTGTGGGAGGGTTTGTTTTGGTTATTATTATTGGTTTTTTAAGACAGGGTTTCTCTGTGTAACCCTGGCTGTCCCAGAACTCACTCTGTAAACAAGGCTGGCCTCAAACTCAGAGATCGCTTGCCTCTGCCTCCTGACTGGCTAAAGACAAGGTTTTTCAAAAGCTATTTGCCTAAAAATGCAGCCTCTGCCCCAGTATGTACCAAGTCAGACACTTTCCTGTGTGCTGGGGACACAGCAAAGACAAGGCGTGTGTTGTTCTTACTTCTGGAGTTTGTAACTCTGATCAAGGCAAGTGAAACAAGAGCAACTAGAACAAGAACAAGAAACTAACAAGAGCTAACAAGTGAAGCAAGAGCACTAACTCAGCTGTATCCGTGTGAGATAGAACAGCAAGGAGAGGGTGAACAGAGTGTACCCACAGGGTGTAAGGAGAGCACACACACACACACACACACACACACACACCACATACACAGACACACACACACACACACACACACCACATACACATATAGACACACACACAGACACATACACAGACACACACACACCACATACACACACATATAGACACACACACAGACACATACACAGACACACACACACCACATACACACACATATAGACACACACACAGACACATACACAGACACACACACACCACATACACACACATATAGACACACACACAGACACATACACAGACACACACACACCACATACACACACATATAGACACACACACAGACACATACACAGACACACACACACCACATACACACACATATAGACACACACACAGACACATACACAGACACACACACACCACATACACACACATATAGACACACACACAGACACATACACAGACACAGACACACACACACACACCACATACACAGACACACATACACACATCACATACACAGACACACAGACACAGACACCACATACACACATACTCCACATATAGACACACACACAGACACAACACAGACACACACACACACACACACACCACATACACAGACACAGACACCACATACACACATACTCCACATATAGACACACACACAGACACATACACAGACACACACACACACACACACACACCACATACACACACACACACCACATACACACACACACACACACAGACACAACACAGACACACACACACACACACACACCACACACACAGACACAGACACCACATACACACACATAGACACACACACAGACACACTCACACACAGACACACACCACATACACGCACACACACTTTCCCCGCCTGCCCCCTCTCCAAATATAAAAGGGCCATTTTGCTGGTGATGTGAATTGATACTGGACTGTCAGGCAATTAATTGCTGTAGTCAGCTTCATTTCCATCCTGGAGTAACAGAGGGAGGAGCATTTAGCAGACTCTCCATCCTCCCCCTAGACCTCCCATTACATCATCCACCCCTGTGTAGCTACATACAGCTCTAGGAGCATCTGAAGAGCCAAAAATGTTGTGTTCCAGGGACGTGATTGAGACTGGGTCATGCTCACCAAGTCTGGCAGGAACAAAAAAAAAAAAGCCAAAGGAATAAAATAAGAAACAGAATACCCTTTTCTGATGATTGCCAGAGACAGGCAGTGTAATTTTTAACTATCTCAACCTTGTTAGGAGATAAATTTACCACTTATTCTATAAAAACACCCAGCTCCTGGAATACTGAATCACACTGAACTTTGACATCATCACACAAAGTGAAGTACTTCTGAAGAATAGAGCATGCTCTAACAGCACAGCCTGACGACACAGGGCCCATTTTTGGCATTTTACAGTTAGATGATTCAAGAAGGACTCAGTCATATACACTAATTGAAAAGAACTTTAAATTCACAGGTTCTCAACTTTGGATTCAAATATTAAAACAACAAACATCAACAAAGATAAAAACAAAACAACAAATACCACATTGTTCAACAGAAATAAGGTCTTTTGGTCTCAAAGCTTCCTTCTAGTGGCTTGGTGAGCAACTGTAGTCAGTCTGGGAAGGACTGGAGGGGCCACCCTTCTGAGCACAAGCAATGAAGCCCAGCAGGGGTCGCAATGGAGGCTGCAGAGGGGAAGATTAAACAGCCAGCCTATGTGGTCCACAGGAAGAAGCTAGCACAGCCAGAGGCAGAATCCAGGCTTGAACTATCTTGGTCTAAGAGAAGACAGCTGTGATTTCCCATATAGATGGGAGGTCCAGGCTACAGAAAGCCCTTGGTCTGGAAATAAGAGAACAGACCAGTGTCTGGTACCCTGCCAATGGTGTCATAGGCAGATTAAAGAATTACAGAATTTTGCAGGACGTTGGTGGTACATGCCTTTAATCCCAGCACTCAGGAGGTAGAGGCGGATCTCTGAGTTTGAGACCAGCCTGGTCTACAGAGCGAGTGCCAGGATAGGCTCCAAAGCCACAGAGAAACCCTGTCTCGAAAAAACCAACAACAAAAAGACAGAATTTTATGTGAAACACACTCCTGAAAACAAGTTGAGTCACTCTTTTCTTCAACAGTTTAGTCTCTGGTGGCTGGAAAATGGCTTGGAAATGGGCAATTCTACTTAACTTCCTTCACTGTCCCTTTTCTGTTCCTGCCTTCCTTCCCTTCTCCACTCTCTCTCTCCCTCTCCTCCAGACCTCTTTCTTTTGTGACACAGAGTCACTGTGTGGCCTGGGCTGTCTCAACCCCACCGAAATTACAAGCATGTCCTATCACACCCAGAGATTCAGTTGCGTGGTTTTTCTTCTTTTTCCCCTTTGCCTATGTTGGTGTGTTGTGTGGGCATGTTTGGGGATGGGTGCACACGTGTGTGGGAGTCTGAGGTTACTGTTAGGAGCCACCTCAATCAGTCACCAGAACTCAGATACGGCTAGTTTTGTTAGACAGTGTGTTCTGGGGATTCTGTCTCCACCTTCTAAGGCTAGAATTACAGACAGGCTGACTCACCCATACAGCATTTTTATGTTGGTTTCTGGGGATCTGAACTTTATTTCTCACATTTGTGTGGCAAGTGCTTTAACTGCTGAGCCACCGTCCTGCCCATTTTTAATTTTGGTGTTTTTCTAAATTATAAAGAAATACATATGTGTTGCAAACATTAAAACATTTCAAAGTCAGTCATGGTGGTTTATGTCCATAACCCCAGCATTTGAGAGGCTGAAGAAAAGGGATTGCCATGAGTCTGAGCCTCGTCTGGACTTTTATTTATAATGGATTCCAAGTAATCATGAGGTACGGGGTCTTCCAAACAAAAATAACAAAAGCCATCAACAAGACATAAACGTCAAAGTCTAGTATAAAAGCTGTTTGTGGGCTAGAGAGATGTCTCAGAAGTTAAGAGCACAGACTGCTCTTCTAGAGGTCATGAGTTTAATTCCCAGCAACCACATGGCTTACAACCATCTATAATGAGATCTGGTTCCCTCTTCTGGTGTGCAGACATACATGCAGGCAGAATAGTGTATATCATAATAAATAAATCATCAAAAAGAAAAAGCCTTTTGCTTGGCCAGGCAGTGGTGCCCATACCATTAATCCCAGCATTTGGGAGGCAGAGACAGGTGGATCTCTGAGTTTGAGGCCAGTCTGGTCTACAAAGTGAGTTTCAGGGCAGTCAGGACTGTTACACAAAGAAGCCCCGTATTGAAAAAAACTACAACAAAAAAGTTTTGTTTTGTTTTGTTTTGTTTTGTTTTGGTCAGGCATGGTGGTGCACACTTTTAATCCCATCACTCTATGGGCAGAGACATGCAGATCTGAGTTCTAGGACAGCCCCAGATATACAGAGATAAATATTAAGAATTATTCTTTGTAATGTATACATGTGTGTGTCTCTCTGCATGTAAGCAACATGTGTGTAAGTATCCAAGGTAGATAGAAGAGAGTTTCAGATGCCCTGGAGTTGGGAGTCAGGCAGTTGTGAGCTGCTTGTTGTAGGTACTGGGCACAGAACTCTACTCTTCAGAAAGAGTATATGCTCTTAACTGTTAAGCCATCTTTCCAGCCCAATTTTATTCATTCATTTGTTTGTTTGGTTTGGTTTTTTGAGACAGGATTTCTTTGTGTAACAACTCTAGCTGTCCTGTAATTAGCTCTGTAGACCAAGCTGGCCTTGAATTTACAGAGATCTGCCTGCCTCTGCCTCCCAAGTGTTGGGATCAAACGCCTGTGCCACCACCACCCGGCTAACACTATGTTCTTAAGTGGAATGATTTACAGCTGAGAATTGAGACATGCTTGTAGTAACCAACACTCTGGAGGCTGAGGCAGGAGGATTGTAAATGCAAGGCCAGGTGAGGCTACATAATGAATCCTTGTAATATGTCCTTTCATGGAAAAGAGAAAACTCTTTGACAACATAACTAGATAAAAAAAAAATCAAATTCTGAGGCTCAGAAAGGTACCTGTCGGGTGTAGAGACTGTTTTGAGAGCTAGTTAAGCAGCCACAAGAGTTCTGACAGTTCTAGATAGTATTCCATAAGGAAGTCAATGCCCCTTTCTTTCACCAAATACACACAGCTGCCTTCCTAATGCTTCACCACAGACTGACTGAGCTCTTGTCACTGTCTCCACACACTTCTTCCCCTTAACTAAGGATGTACTTCTATGCCCCTGTCATGAGTGGCCCAGAGTACTGGATTCTTGTCCAACTCCTACTGACCACCATCAGCCAGGGCCTTTGATCCTGAGACTGGATAAGTCAGCTTCAGATATTGTGTGCTACTGCCCAGTCCAAATGTTCTGCAATTTGTCTTTCTAACTGAGATCAATGAACCATCAGCTGAAGTCACTGTTGGCAGGGTTACAAGTTATCATCGCTGCTGTCAAAATCTGGGTCGCAGAGCAAATTCTTCCCTCCCTTCTTACACAGAGGAGGCTCTGGGTTTTCCAGGCTAAGGTCACTGAACCAATTTATCTGCTGATCCTCCTGGGAACTGCTGGATAAGCTCTCACAGACTGGGGAGGAGCACTGGGTAGACTGCTGGATGCTCCCGGGTGTTGCCCTTGCTGTTTTATTGGTCCTCACTATTCTTCCCAGAATAGGACGGGCTGACTTCATGGCGATTCTTGGAGCCCGCCAACAGATGATGGACCCTTGTGGGCTAGAAACTGAAGTCTGGGTTCTACAATGCCTAGAGACAAAAGCACAGGCCTTCCTTGGGGTTTGTTCTTGCTTCCTAGCTAGAAGCCTGCCTCTTTGTGATTTCCTGGGGTGCTGCTTCTTGCCTTTCCTCTCCTTACCTCGGGTCCTGTCTTTCTGTTCAGTTGCTGACTGTTCAAATAGGTCAGAAGAACACATGTTTTGGGCTTCAATTTGGGGGCAGGCATTCTTCACTCTGGATTCAAACTTATTTAAGTCCAGCTGTGAGGCTTCATCGGCAACTAGATCCTCATCATGGTCAGCCTTCTGGCTTGGGAGGCTAGCACAGTGGTTAGTGAGGCTTCTGGTGGTGATAACCCAGTTCTTGTAGTAAGTCTGCATGGCATTGTTCTTCACATGTTCATTTCCTCTATGTGGCTCATCTGTCAGCAATGCAGCCTTCTGAAAAACACCACTCTCTGCTCCTTCATCCCAGACACCAAACTCCCTAGGCCTCTGGGAACTCCCTGTAGGAGACACCTGGGCCTCAGAGGTGCATTTTTCCTGCCCGGTAAAATGGAGGCTCTGGGCCAGAGCTGGAGAGGTCTGAGAGGTGCTGTCTTTCAGATGCCCAACTAACCGAGGTGCAGAGAGTTTTTTCAGCTCTTCTAGGACACCAGGCACATTGAGCTGACCTAGCTTCTCACAAAGCTGTTGGAAGTCCTTACTCTGCTGGGTAACTAAAACTTCAAGGTTTTTCAGGTTGGATTTCATCTCCATAAACTCCGCTTGTCTCTGGGAAAGGCAGTGAAAAAGAAGAGAGTGATGGACACAATAAAATGTGACAACAGGTAATCACACCCTAATCCCAGCACTTAGATGGCTGAGTCCAGAGGACCAGCATGACAGGGGCTGGAAAGATGGCTCGGTGATTAAGAGAAAAGGTTAAAAGTACTTGGCAAGAGTACTCTTGTAGCCAGGCAGTGGCGGCGCACACCTTTAATCCTAGCAGTTGGGAGACAGACAGGTGGATCTCTGTGAGTTCGAGGCCAGCCTGGTTTAGAGAACGAGATCCAGGACAGCCTCCAAAGCTACAGAGAGAAACCCTGTTTCAGGGGGGAAAAAACCAACAACAAGGGGGAAAAAAAAGAGTACTCTTGTAGAGGATCTAGGTTCAGTTCCCATCACCCACATGATGGCTCACAACCATCTATAACTCCAGTTCCAGGGGATCTGATGCCTTCTGATTTTTGTGGGAACCAGACACAAACATGTTACAGAGACATATATGTAGGCAAAGCACTTACATATAAAAAATAAAATAATTTTAAAATACAAATTAAAAGAAAGATTAGCATGAGTCTGAGGCTAGCTTGAGCTACATAGTGGTTTCTAAAACAGCCTGAGCTACAGGAGGGAGACCCCCCATCTCAAAATACACACACACAAAAAAAACTAAGAGAACCAGTGGACAAAGGCTTGTCCCTTACAGAGTAAGCATACACTGTGAGCAGGGCTGGGGTACACATGCTTCCAGGGAACCCTGAGGGTAGACTATGACTTGACTTACTGAAAAAAAAATCCTGCTTTCTGGTCTTGGATGAAAATTTCTCACATATTAAGTATCTCTCTCGGTCTTAGAGACAAAGCCAAACACACACATGGGCATGCATTTATCTGTAGTCTCAGCTACTCAGAAGGCTGGGACAAGAACACTTGAGTCCAGCACCTCAAGATAAGCCTGGGCAACAAAGCAAAGCAAAGCCAGAGCTTGTGTTTGTACTTACAGTTTCAGAGCTCCTCTGTAGCTCAAGGATGGCCTGTTCCATATTGCCTTTGTCTCGCATTGCATCAAATATCAGGTCACGCTGAACCTGGGCACTCTCTTGAACTAAATACAAACAAGGACAGATTTTTTTCCTAATAATTTTTTCCCCTTAAGTACAAAGAGAAGAATCTATACCTTTCAGGAATATATAAAATACTTTGTGTGAAATGCCTGATGAAGAAAGAAAAAACAAACAATAAATAATAAACACATGACCAACTGGCATGGTGGAACTTACTCTGTAGACCAGGCTGTCCTGGAACTCAATCTGTAGATCAGGCTGGCCTCAGACTCACAGAGATCCCCCTGCCTCTGCCTCCCAGCACTCCTTCACTTCTGTCACAGCAATGGAAAGCTAAGAGTACTTGACTGGGGCACTGATAAATGAGTTACCCTGTCACATTATACAAGGGACCCTCCCTCATTTGCTTCTGTTCTCAGCATTGCTAGCTAATTCTTGTGAGGGTAACAGTTCTATTCCTAACATTTCTAAACAGAGGGATAGCTGTCCTGTGTGTAGCCCAGGTTGGAAATCAGTAGATAAACAGTACAGTGTTTCTTTTCAGACAGATGGGAATTATTTTATGAGCCACACAAAGGCATTGATTTTTGTAAATCATGAGTAATTCATCCCTTGGCATGTGGATAAGCTGACTCGAATTAGTTCAAAATAAAAAATAAACAGAAATGCAAACAAGAACAGATGCACAATCATCTATTTTTGTTAGAAAATTCTAGAGAAGTATTGACTGTTTATAAGAGTGTTCATCTATATGTAAAACACTTAATGGGGGGAGGGGCTTTTACAAACCTTACACTATAACTGATACTGAGACCAAGGCTGATTCACCATAAAACAACTCTCACTGAAACCAAAGCAGTGAGAAGAACAGCAGGTGACTGAAATATTTCTAACTCCTAAGAGGGAGTGTGTCTACAGATGGCACAGCGGGCAAGCCATGTGAGACTAGGGAAATTGCTGATTCATTTCAGGCATGAGGTGAGAGGGCTGGCAGAACTAGCATACCCTGAGACAGCAAGATTGCTGAGGAGTAGTACTACACAAAAGCCACCATGGGATCAAAGTGTTGTCATGGGCTGGAAGGATGGCTCAGTGGTTAAGAGCACTCCTGATCTTTCCAAGGACCTGGGTTCAATTCCCAGCACTTACATATCCTGTTGGTTCACAACTGTCTGTTAACTCCAGTTCTAGGGGAATCCACCTACATTCTAAAGCCTGAAATACCTAAGTGATATTCTCTAATATATACTTTTATATCTCATTTAGCAGTTGCAGACCAGCCAGGCTTACACAGACAAACTTTTCTCAGAAAAAAAAATGCACAAAGGTTTACAAGGTGGTGAGGTGACACAAGCCTTTAATTCCAGCACTCGAGAAGCAGAGTTAGACATATCTCTATGAGTTCCAGGCCAGCCTGGTAAAGTTCCAAATCAGCCAGGGCTACGTAGAGATGTACCCTGTCGCAAAACAAAACAAAAACAAACAAACAAAAATAAAAAAGTGTTGTCACATAGCAGGGGGCTCCATTATCCAGGCCTAACTTTATGCTCCTACTCTTTCATCTAAAACAGTACCAGTATGGAATCACACCCTGGAAACATGGATAGAGTCAGAAGGGTCATATTCATGGCTCACTAGTGCCTTCTGCTGATAACATCAACCTTGAGATGCTAACAAAAATTCAAACCGTAGAAGCAAACAAAAATACATGTGGTATACTCACATGTCTTGGCTACAGTCTCCAAAGAATCCAATATAGATTGGCTTCTTGAACTGAGATTTTCCTCAGACTTTTCCACAGATGTCTGCAACTAAGAAACTCAAAATTAAGAAAGAAATCACATGGGGACTAGAGAAATAGTTCACACTGGGAGTGCTGTCTGCTCCTCTGGAAGACCAGGGTTTGATTCCTAGCACCCACATGGTGGCTTACAACTGTCTATAACTCCAATTCCAGGGATCCAATGCCTTCTTCTGGTCTCCAAGGGCACAGCACACATGTGGTGCACAGACATACATGTAGGCAAAACACCCAAACACATGAAATAAACATGAATTTTTTTAAAAAGAAAAAGACAAAAAAAGAAAGCACCAACTGTTGTCTAATCTCACCGACTTATATAATTAGATGACCATCTAATTATAAAATGATAAACATGCTGCTTTTCTACATTTGCTGATTCCATCCCCAAAATACACAATGCTCTAATTCTCTGAAACTTAGCTCTACCTACCTTGTGGATGACTTCTTGAAAATGAGAAACAAAGTTGTACAGCATCTCACTAGGGTTAAAAAGAGGGGAAGGAAGGTGAGAATAAATCTTTGTGCCACACTGAAATAGCATGTAACATCTGATTATGGCAGGTGTTCATCTAGCATAGCATCAAACATTGCTTGATCTGAGTTGGAGACCTGAAAAACCTCAGCTGTCCAGCCAAAACTCAAACTTATATTCAATGAAAATCACATTTTTCTTTCGTCCGTCCAGCAACTAGTGCTGAGCCATCTCTCCAGCTCTTCTTCCTCATTTTAGAAGCAGGTGGATTTCTAGGAGTTGAAGGCTAGCCTGGTCTACATAAGTTCCTGGTCAACCAAGTGAGACAGTGTCTCAAAACAACAAGCAAACAAAACCAAGAATATACACAAATAGTTTTTTTAATTACAAATTTTGTATTTGTTAGTTTAAAATTTTAAATTTACATTTATTTCATGTGTGTCTTCACACACAACTACAAAGCACCCATGTGGAGGCTAGAGAAAACTTGATGGGAGTCAGTGCTCTCCTTCAGCCCTGGAGATTCTGGGGATTAAAGTCAGGTTGTACCAAGTATTTTTATCTACTGAGCCAGCAAATGGTCCCCTGCCTTTTTTTATTACATCCATTAAGTGAGAGAGAGAGAGAGAATGCATGTACATATACATTGTGGACTGGAGGTCAGAGGCCAACTGTGAGAATGAGTTCTTTCTTTCTATCATGCAGGTCCCAGGGATTAAAATCAAGTCATCAGGTGTGACAGATTCCTTTACCCATTCAATGTAAGTTCAGGTTTTTTCCTAAAATTTGTATTTTTATGTATATGAGTATTTAGTCATGTATGTATTTAGTGTACTATGTACTGCCTGTGGAGGCCAGAAGACAGCATTGGATCCCTTGGAACTGGAGTTACACTGTTATGAGTGTCATGAGTGCTGAGAACTGAACCTGGGTCCTCTACAAAAGGAGCAAATGTTTTTAACTGCTGAGCCAACTCTCTAGTCCCTCAATCATTGTTTTTAACACAGGATTACATATTAGTACAGTCTTGCCTGCAATTCCTGGTAATGCTCCTACCTCAGCTTTCTAAATGCTGAGAATTGGAAGAAAATCACCATGTTTGGCTTCAAAATTTGTTTTTCTTCTTATTTGTTTTTTATTTATTTGTGTGTGGGCATCCGTATAGCATGTGTGTGAAGGTCGGAGGAGTTCTCTCTTTCTGCCATGTGGGTATGAGGGTTTGAACTCAGACATTCTTAGGCCTATCAGGAAGCACTATCTTGTTGGTCTTAGCTAAAGAATATATTTCTTTTCTTTATGAGCCAGTCTGGTCTACAGAGCTAGTTCTGGGATAGCCAAGGCTGAACAGAGAAACTGTCTCAAAAGAAAAAAAAATTTTGTTCATGTCCAGTTGTGCATGGTAACTCATTCCTTTAGTCCCAGCATTGGGAGGGCGGAGGGGTGGAATTGGCAGTTGAAAATCTGGCAGTTCCAAGTCATCCTGGTCTATATAGTGAGACCCTGTCTCAAAAAAAGTGAGAAAATAAGTCTTAAACTTTGACTTAAGAATTCATATATTACACTGGGTGGTGGTGCACCCCTTTTTATCCCAGCACTTGGGAGGCAGAGGCAGGCAAATCATTGTGAGTTCGAGACCAGTCTGGTCTACAGAGCAAGTTCTAGGCAGTTCCAAAGATACAGAGAAACAAAACCAAAAAAAAATTCATATATTACACTGGATTGAGTGTATCATTCAGTGGTACAATATGTACTACAGCTTCATCTAGCCCAGTGGTGGTGTATGCCTTTAATCCCAGAACTCAGGACGAAGAGGCAGGCAGATCTCTGTGAGTTTGAATCCAGTCTGGTCTACATAGTAAGTTCCAGGACAGAGGGCTACACAGAGAAACCCTGTCTTGAAAAACCAAAATAATGATAGTAATAGTAATAGTAATAGTAATAGTAATAATAATAATAATAATAATAATAATGTCATCTAATATCCTATGCTAGATGGTCTGAAAAGATAAAAATTAGAAGGTAGAAATTTAGCCAGAATCAATATAATATTAGTTGAATTTTACATATTTTTAAATATGGATTTTGTTTCCCAGAAACAAAAAGCTACATTCAAATCTACAAGTCACAATGAGGAAAGCAAAAATTCCTAGCTGGGTATTAGTGGCTCATACCTATAACCCAGTACTTGAGAGGCTAAGGTAGAAGGATCAATGGAAACTTGAAGCCAGTCTGGGCTATACAGTGAGATCCTGCCTCAAAGAAACAAAAGCATATTAGAAAAAAATTAAAAGGCAAGAGTTGAAGCATTAGGGAGGCAGATCAGCAGGCAAGTACTTACTATGTAATCATAAGGTCATAAGTTCTATCCCAAGCACCCATGTAAAAAGCTAGGCATACTCTTTTAATTGCAGGGTCTCAACAGCCAGCTAACCTTGCCTGATTACTGAGCCCCATGTCCTAGTGAGAGACCTTGCCTCAAAAACCAAGGCAGGGTGGGGGGGAAGACAGCTCAGTGGGTAGATTATTTGCTGTGGAAGCACAAGGACCTGAGTTTGGAGCCCCAGCATGTACATAAAAGCCAGGCATGGTGTTGCAGATCTCTAATTCCAGTGCTGGGGAGGGAGTAACAAGATCCGTGGGACTTGGGCTGGAGAGATGGCTCAGAGGTTAAGAGCACTGGCTGCTCTTCCAGAGGTCCTGAGTTCAATTCCCAGCAACCACATGGTGGCTCACAACCATCTGTTATGAGATCTGGTGCCCTCTTCTGGCCTGCAGGCATATATGGAGGCAAAATGTTGTATACATAATAAAAAAATAAACCTTAAAAAAAAAAATCCGTGGGACTTGCTAGCTAGTATAAGATGAATCCATGAGGTCTTAGATCACTAAGACAAAAAATTAAGTGGAAAACAAAAAAGTGGAGAATGATTGAGACCTCTGGTCTCCACGGACAGGGACACACACTCACACACACACACATACTTTGAGCCAGCTGAGGGTGAGAATTGTCCAGATTAAGTGAGGCTGTGGGTATATTCCTTGGTGATTGTCTTGATTACATTAATTGACATGGGAAGACTCAGCCTAAAAGTGAGCAGCACCATTCTTTAGGTGTGAGTCCTGGACCATACACCAAGGGAGAGGACACTCATGTATGCATTGCGTTAGTTCCTGCTCTCTTAACTTCTCTACAGAGATAGACTGTAACCTAAAATTGTGAGCCAAACGCACTCTCCCTTCTTAGGATGCTTTTGTTGGGGTATTTTATCATAGAGAGCAACAGAACAAAACTAATACACACACAAGCAGCGTAAAGAAAAGCTAGAGTGCATTGCAGCTTTTGTTTAGAGATAGCCTGCAGTAGTCCAAACTGACCTGCAAGTAGAACTCACTGTTGCCAAAGATGACCTTGAACTACTGGTCCTCCTGTTTCTTTCTGCCTCCTAAAAGCTGAGATTCCAGGTTCACTGCCCCCCCACCCACCCAGTATCCAGTCCAATGCTGTCCTGTTTTTCCCTTTAATATTTGTTTTTTTTTTTTTAATTCTTTTTTTTTTTTTAAAGATTTTTTTATTTATTATATATACAGCCTTCTGCCTCCATGTGCCCTGCAGGCCAGCAGAGGGCACCAGATCTCATTCAAGGTGGTTGTGAGCCACCATGTGGTTGCTGGGAATTGAACTCAGGTCCTCTGGAAGAACAGTCAGTGCTCTTAACCTCTGAGCCATCTCTCCAGTGCCCCCTCCCTTTAATATTTGTTTATTTTTTGGAGACAGAGAATAAACCTAGGGTCTTGTCATGCTAAGTAAGCACTACTGCTGACAAAGATATGAAGGGAAGGCAACATGATACCCTTAAAATAAAAAACTCAAGTTAATCTTTATCAATGTGCAGGTACATTACCCGAAATAGTGATGACCTGACTAGAGACAAAAGAAGGGGAGATTCTCCTCATGGGTTGTGACATCCAGTTTCTTCTGCTCTCAAACACTGGAGCTCTTAAAAAGTTTGTAAGTCAAACTTCAAACCTCAGTGAGGAGTCATCTCTCCCTCTGATTCATATGAAGCTGTATCATTGGCTTCCCCGGTTCTCCAGCTTGCATATGGCAGATTTATGCGACTTCCAAAATAAACCATATTCTTTATCTTCCTCTGTCATTCACACTCTCCTCCCCGTGTATAATACTGATCCTGTTTCCTTTGCACAACTCTGACTAATATATGCTATTATAGTGAAAGTTAACTTTTTGTTTTGTTTTGTTTTTTTGTTTTTTGAGACAGGGTTTTTCTGTGTAGCTTTGGAGCCTATCCTGGCACTCGCTCTGGAGACCAGGCTGGCCTCGAACTCACAGAGATCCGCCTGAGTGCTGGGATTAAAGGCGTGTGCCACCAATGCCCGGCTAACTCTTTGATTACTGATAGTACATTTGTTTCCTCCATAAAACATGAGCTTTCTCATCCTCTTAAAAGGTGTACCTGTCACATTTGTCTGTCGCCCTTCGTTTTTTCTCCTCAAACTGTTTCAAGAGTCCTTTTGATTTTCCAACTGGCAAAGGAAGAGAAAATAAACCTTCATCCTTTGTATCACCTCCAAACAACTGGGGCTTTGTCTGGTATTTTGTGAAAATACTAGGTTCATTCTGTTAAATGAAAAAAAAATCAACATAAAATTTCACACACTATTCTCTGTACAATGCAGAATTTAATGGTATTTAAGTACCAAGCATATGGCTGAAAATAAAGCATATAGCTTTTTCATTATTTGTATCTACCAGGAAATTATAATAAAGCGACTTTCTGAGTGTACTCATTAGTGCAGAAATATTAAAATTTCAGCTAAAATGGTCAAAACCAACTAATACATTTTAAGAAACAACGGAAAATTATTTACTTTGTCTCTGAAATGTGGTATTAAAGTTTCACATAAATATACTTAACTCAAATCGTTATTTTTAGCTTCTGTTGAAAACGTTCACAAGGCCTATAGAATAAGCTGCAGTATAGAGACCCATTTCCTACATTTCTTAGGAAAAAAATGTGTTCTAAACATTCAGGAAGTGCATTTATTTATTACTTTATATCACTAGCATAAATTTTTTTTGGTCTTAGTTTTTTTTGTTTTTAATTTATTTTATTTTTATTTTATGTGTATTGGTGTTTTGCCTCCTGTGTCGGGTCCCCTGGAACTGGAATTACAGATAGTTGTGAGCTGCCATGTGGTGCTGGGAGTTGAACCCGGATCCTCACTGTGTAGTATCTGGCTGCCCTAGAACTAGCTCTATAGACAAGGCTGGCCTCCAACTCACAGAGATCCTCCTGCCTCTGCCTCCCAAGTGCTGGGATTAAAGGTGAGTGCCACACTGCCGGGCTTACCATCAATTTTTGTACTGAGATCACTAATACAATGTTTACTAACCTAAGCCACTGAGCTAGCCTTATTCACTGCATTATTTGATATAGGCAGTCTAAATATAAAATTAAATGTAATTCTAGACCAAACAAAAAAGTTAAAAGAGAGGGCATGGTAATACATGTCTTGAATCCCAACACTAAGGAGGCAGAGGCAGAAGGATGGCCTTTGAAGGCAGCAGGCAAAAGCACACTGGCCTAGGTACTGCCATTTTGACTTCAGATTCAATTTCACCTGTATCAACTTTCCAATGGCTGACCAACCTCCTCCTTAAACAATGGAAATGGTCTGTTATATCCCTTAGTACTCTAAAACATTATGGCTGTTGCTAACAACAGAAAGAGCAAATGAATCTGATTGGTTGAACTAAAAAGCTTCAGTTTGGGGTTGACAATGATGGAACACACAAAGAAAGTCCCTAATCTTTGACTCCTGATTGGTAAAAATTGTAACTATAACCAGGCAACAAATGTGTGTGTTTCTTGTGCTTATAAACACTGCCAGGGAGAAACAAGGCTCTCAGAATCCTTGTCCTGCAGCAATGATCCATCAGTGACCAAGTGACTCCACTTATGTGGTGATTTATTTATTTAAGTCTTTGGAACCCATATATATTGTTCTCATGGTGCACAACAGACTATGTGTGACAGCCTTGAGTTTCTTTTTTTTAATTTTTAAAAAAATATTTACTTATTATGTATACAGTGTATGTTTACATGCCAAAAGAGGGTGCCAAACCTCATTATAAATGTTGTGATCCACCATGTGGTTGCTAGGAATTGAACTCAGGACCTGTGGAAGAGCAGCCAATGTTCTTAACTTCTGAGCCATCTCTCCAGTTCCCCAGGCTTGAGTTTTAAGGTAGCCTGGGCTACACTATGAGTTCTAGGCCAGTCTGGCCTACAGAGTAAAACTGTCAAAAAAAAAGAAAAAAAAAAAAGGCAAAATAGCAGTAACAAAATCCCAAACTCAAAAAGACAAATATCTCAAGTGCTCTTTCACATGCAGATCTCAGGGATTTATGTTATTGTTGTTTTGTTTTGTTTCTGAGATAGGATTTGTGTAGCCCTGGCTGTCGTGGAACTTGTTCTGTAGACCAGGTTGGCTTTGAACTCACAGAGATCCATCTGCCTCTGCTTCCTCAGTTCTGGGATTAAAGGCGTGCATCACCAATACCAGGCCAGATCCCGGTTTTTTATGCTTATCTATATGTATGTGTGGATGTGAGTGTGGGTATAGTCTATGAAATTAGAAAAAGGGAAACTAGAAGAAAATAGAATGTAGGAGTGGAGACAAGAAAGGAGGAAAAATATAAAGGGTGTATGTATATACAATTGTGATTATATTCATCCTTTTCGTTTGTTTACTTTTGTTATTTCAAGACAGGGTTTTGGGCTGGACAGATGGCTCAGCCGTTAAGAGCTATAAAAGGAGTTCCAGGATAGCCAAGGCTACATAGTGAGACCCTGACTCAAAAACAAAATGTCATCAAACAAGCACTAATCCATTTAGGACACTGATCTTCAGTATAATTCTAAAGTATGGTCATATTCCAATAGAAAAATTCTCTTTTTTGCCTATCTCCATAATAACTATGAAATATGTGCAGAGGGGCTGGGGAGATGGCTCAGATGGTTAAGAGCAGTGGTGGCTCTTCCAGAGGTTCTGAGTTCAATTCCTGGCAACCACATGGTAGCTCACAACCAGCCATAATGAGATCTGGTCCCTCTTCTGGCCTGCAGGCAGAACATTGTATACATAATAAAAAAACAGGTCTTTGCCAAGTGGTGGAGGTGCACGCCTTTAATCTCAGCACTCAAGGAGGCAGAGGCAAGTGAATCTCTGTGAGTTTGAGGTCAGCCTGCCCTATAAAACAAGCTCCCAGACTGGCATCATAGCTACTTAGAAACCCTGTCTCAAGAAAAAAAAAAGTATGTGCAGAGAAATTCTAGAAATCAGAGCTAAGGTGGTGGCTTATTCCCATAACCCCAAGAACCAGGAAGCTGAGATAGGAGGATGGACCTTAGACTGGACTACACAGCAAGATTCTGCCTCAAAAGGAAATTTAACTAGCTGGAAATCAGACTCACATCTACAGAATTCTGTTGTGTCTGTTTTGGATGTCTTGAGTAGGCACCAATATCCAAGGATGCAGACAGACTCTCTGAATTTTCTGGACAAAACTGAGATCCAAAGAGGAACTGGGAATCACTGGGTGAAGAACAATCAGTCTGATTGCTATTCCAGTTAGATGGCTTAGTGATCCTGAAACCAAGCAAGAAAACATTAAGTAAACACTCATCCTGAACAGATGGAATCATAACTCACAGCTACTATTTCAGAATATTCTGGAGCGTGCATGTTTGACTTATTGTTGGCTTTGAGACCTGGTCTCTCTGTTATGTAGCTCTGGGCATATTTGTTTTGACCTCTAAGTCCGCTATACACTGCTTCTATGACCTATAAAGAACCACAAGGAAATTATGAATGCCCCACATCTTAATTATGACAGCTGGAAAATAATCAAATGAAACTTTAAACCATAGTGTACCCTCTTCCCAATACACAAATAATAAATGTAAAAAGTAGGGGGCAGGAGAAGAGGGAAGGGATTGACATGTAAAATAATTTTCTTTCTAATAAAAAAAGAATAAATAAGTAAAAAAATGTAAAAAGTAGAACTTTATTTAAAGTGAACTCTATAAGTATCATTTTGTGAATTTTTAAACCTACATAATTACATATTTGTAATTGAACATTTGGAAAGTGAAGGAAGGGGAACAAGATTGGAGAGAGAAGGAACCATAACAATACAACACAAGAGATTGAGCTGGGTGTGGTTTTAACCCCATCACACACCTTTAATCTCAACAACTCAGGAGGCAGAGGCAGGCAGATATCTGTGAGTTCGAGGCCAGCCTGGTTTACAGAGTGAGTTCTAGGACAGCCAGGGCTGTTACACAAAGAAACCCTGTCATGAAAAAACAAAAAACAAAACAAAACAACAACAAAAATACCAATAAGACTTACTATGGGCTGAATGCTTCCACCTCTAAAAGAATCTTTTATTATTATTTTTTGGTTTTGTTTTTCGAGACAGGTTTTCTCTGTGTAACTGGTTGTCCTGGAACAAAGTCTGTAGACCAGGCTGGCCTCAAACTCACAGAGATTCACTTGCCTCTGCCTCTCAAGTGCTGGGATTAAAGGTTTGTGCCACCAAAGCCCAGCCTGGTATAGGATTATATCTTAAAGCAACGATGGAATTAAACAAAAGTAACTTTTCTGTACTCTGTATAAAGAGCAGGCTTCTTTTTTTGAGAAATAAAAAGAAGAGTAGATTTTAAAATAATATTTGCTTAATTTTATATGTATGAGTGTTTTGCCTGCATGTATGTATAGATACCATGTATCATGTGTTTAGTGCCCAAGGAGTTAAGGGAATCAGATCCCTTGGAACTGGAGTTACAGATGGTTGTAAACCACCAATGTAGGTACTGGGAAGTGAACCCAGGTTCTCTGCAAGAGCAGTAAGTGCTCTTAACCAGAGCCATCACTCCAGCCCCTAGAATTTTCTTTTCTTCCTTTTTAGTCAAATTGGCAAGTTTCTTTGGGAAAGTGTTAGGAGGGAAAGAAACTATACAATGATGAATGCATGCAAAAAAAGAAAAAACAATTTATATCCCTTTTCAGACATTTCCCACAATTTAGAAATGGCAGGTTTATTGTAGCCAGGAGGAAACCCAGTCAAAAACCTCAGTGGACAGTAGATACAGCATGCACAGTATCTCATTGGGTCTTGCCAGTAGCTGGAGTGGCTCTTCAGAGAAGCTACAAATTATATCACATTAACACACAGACATCTGAACACCACTGATTTTATTTCTTTCTATTCCAAAGCATTGCTTAATTCAGATCAGTTTCAAGATTTGGGGTTTTATATCTGTGAGAACCAGACTGTGAATGTTGTATACAAAGCTGATATACACAGCTCTCTTGATACTACCTGTGTGTCCGCGTAGATGCTCAAATGCATATTTGAGTGGGTGCGGTTGTATATGTGTGCATGAACAGCATCTGTATGGAGATCAGAAGACAACACTGGCTGCTTGTCCTTAGGTGCCTTCCATCTTCTGTTGGAGACAAGGCCTCTCATTGGAACTTTGCCACATAGGCCACGTTGGCTGACCTGTGAGCTTCCAGAGTTGTCTCTATCTCCCATCTCATCATGGATGGGATATCAGGCACATGTCACCATGTCCAGCTTTTTACATAGGTTTGGGGATTCAAACTCAATTCTTAACACTTGACAGATAAACACTTTACCTTCATCTCTCTCCCCTAAACTGGCATCACTTTTCCAATCAGAAAATAAGTGGGCAGAAAAAGACAAGCATAGAAAGGAGTAGCAGTAACAGAGGAGAAGAAAAGGAGAGGCAATATGGATACCTCTAGTACTGTTCAACAGCCACTCCATCTATAGGAATGAGATTTTCTAGGATTTAACTATCCAATAACCAGGAAACTTACCCAGAGCTTGAGGGAATGCTGAGCATCTCTTTGATATTCCAGACATTAAAATTCATTTTTATACTTCTATTAAAGAACAGAGAAATATTCAGAACATTAATACAGTACATCATTTCCAACTGTACTAATGATATGTAAGAACATTTCCGAAGTTTTGTTCTGAGCCCATTGGTGAAAAATTTCACGACTTAATGTGCCAGAAAAAAAATACCTTTTTTGCTATCAAACTGTATTATAAGCCAGATGTGGTGGTCACACACCTGTAATTGTAACTTCAGGAGGTGGAAGCAGGGAAGATTAGGACAGGTTTAATGGCCAACCTAAGCTTTATAGGGAGTCTGGTAGAGCTCTGTAAATTTGAAGCCAGCCTTATCTACATTGTGAATTCCAGGCTAGCCAGAGCTACATAGTGCTACCCTGTGACAGAAGGCTGGAGAGATGGTTCAGTGGTTAATAGCACTGGCTGCTTTTCCAAAGGACCGGGATTTGATTCCTAGCACCTACATGGCTGGCAGATCACAACCATCTATGCCCAAAGGATCCAACACCCTCTTCTGGTCTCCTTGGGCACTGTATGCATATGGTGTATAGACAAACATGCTGGCAAGACATCCATACAGATAAATACAATTTATTTAGAAAAACCTATGATAATGCCAAGCATAGTGGCACACACCCATAATTCCAGCACTAGAGAAACAGGCAGAGGACAAAGGGTTTAAGGCCACCATGGATTACGTATCTAGAGGCTACCTCCAAAAAGAGGGGAGGACATGTTCTTATTATTCCTCTTTACTATGTGTAAGGACCACATGGGCTAATGTCCTCAGCCCGAGCTTGTCCTTTGTGCTTTTACTTGTTTCCTGTCAGCTAAATGAACTTTTAACTTTAAAGAACAGAGATCCTATCAGCCAAAGCCCCCTCCTTGATGATTCTACCAGACAAGAATAGTGAATGAATGGAATAAGTCATTCCAATATGCCTGGTCCATCAAGGTAAATGACACCTTAAATGCATATATTTGAAACTTTCAGTGCAGTTCTCGATCCATTTATAAACCCATCTTTAGTAAAGAAAGCATGAAAGGAGAAAGGTGGAGCCACTATTTCTACAATAAAGGCTCTAGACAAATTAAGAAGAATGTGTGTAAAGAGAGGGCGGCCCTGGGAGTCAGAGGGACTCCTCCTCTGAGCACCATCATTAACTCTGAGAATTTTTTTTTTCCCAGACAGGGTTTCTCTGTGTAGCCCTGGTTTTCCTACAACTTCGCCTGGCTCTGCCTCCCAAGTACTGAAATTAAAGGGGAACAGCCTGGGGCGCGGGGACCTCACAGGCTTTATTGGGGAGATAGCGCTCTACCACTTAACAAGAGATAGGCCAGGAACTCCCTATATAGCTCAGGATGTCCTAGAATTTGTCATTCTCCTGTCTCAGCTCTGGGAATCTGAGTGAAACCATCCAGCACTTCCCTCCACACCCTATGTCTTATATTCTCTACATCATCCCCTCCGCCCCGACCCTTCCTTTAACGCAGAAAAAGTCTCTTCCTCAGACTTCTGGTCTCCTTCCACATAATCGCCAGGAGGAATTGTAAACTCTCATATTGTCTGGTCAAGAAGCTCCCTCCAAGGGCTAAAGTGCTTAATGGATAAAGATGCTTGCTGCCAACCATGACAACATAAGTTCGATCCCTGAGACCCACGTGGTGGAAGGCGAGGACCAAATTCTTCAAAGTTGACCTGTGACCCTTTACACGACTCCCTTCTGGTAAGTATAATAAAACACAGGGTTCTAAGCGGCCCTCCAAGCTCCTAGACAGCCATTCCTATGCGTTTCCCAGACAGCGCACTTTTTAAGAAAAAAAGGTTTTTGACTGGGTTTCCTCCTGGCTACAATAAACCTGCCATTTCTAAATTGTGGGAAATGTCTGAAAAGGGATATAAATTGTTTTTTCTTTTTTTGCATGCATTCATCATTGTATAGTTTCTTTCCCTCCTAACACTTTCCCAAAGTGTTTGTTCCTAACAATAAAGACAAAATCCAGTTGGCTCCTCTGATTCCCCAAGTTGACTCTTCTATTATCTCCCACAGGAAGCCGCGGCCCAGTGAGTCTGACGCGGAGAGAGAGCCTCAGGCCAGGCTTCTTGGTGGTCCTGGGCCACGAGGAAAGGGAGCCAGAGACTGTGGCTGCGCGGTGCCCGCGCCCAGGCCGTTCCCCGTCTCTCCCAGCCCTCCCATCCTCGCGCCCCTCCCTCCTCGCTCACGCCCCTCCGGGCGTCCTGTCCTCACCTCCGGCGCCACACGGGCCGGGCCGGCGCGCGCTCACACCTTCAGGCTTCGAAGACAGCCTGCGGGAAATCCTCCCGCCCCGCCGAGGTGAGGCCCCGCCCCCGGAGGCGTTCACCAATGAGAACGCCGCTCCTTGGCTCCGCCCCGCGGCCGCGGGAGGCCAAGGGCTTTTAACGGTTTTAAGGTTTTAACCGTCCTAACAGTTTTAGTGGGTCCAATCCAGCACCTGGCTAAACGGGTCACCTCACCTCACGAAGCGCCTTGAGCCACAGCTAGGCCCTGCGAGGCTGGACCCTCAGGCCCCGCGGCCCAGCTCCGACTCTGTCCTGAGGGAGGCAGGGGATCCCTGTGAGTTCGAGGCCAGCCTGGTCTCCAGAGCGAGTGCCAGGACAGCCTCCAAAGCTACACAGAGAGACCCTGCCTCAAAAAACCAAAAACCAACAAACAAAAACAACAAAAGTAAACCCAAGTAATAAAAATGATGGAACGATGATTACAGTAGTGCCCATAAGTCTCAAAGTGATTATGGTAGTAAAAGTCGGACACAGCCGGGTGTTGGTTGTGCACACCTTTAGTCCCAGCGCTCAGGAGGCAGAGGCAGGCAGATCTCTGTGACCTGTGAGTTCGAAATCAGCCTGGTCTCCAGAGCTACTTCCAGGACAGGCTCCAAAGCTACACAGAGAAGCCCTGTCTCAAAAAAAAAAAAAAGAAACCTGTCATGGCTCTGGTCTGACTCCCTGGCCCTCTCACACACACTGTGTAGTTCTATTTATATAAAATTATTTATATAAAACTTTTTAATCTTTAAACTGTAGACTATACATGATTTGGGAAGGAGGCTGTACCAAACAATGATCACAAAGAAGAATCATCCATTCGTTCACGACTTTTCTTTTATCTGGTCACTCAGAAATATGGTGTTATCAGCTATGATTGTTGTCGCTTGCCGCCTCACGTTATTTTTATCCATGTATTCACCATAGTCCACTTTCCCTTCCACAAATATGCGAGCCCCCTTTTTCACATACTGCTATGCCACGTCTCTGAGGCCTGGTCGAAACACTGATATTCCGTGCCATGTTGTGTTCTGACTCCCGCCCCCCATTTGGTATACTCCACTGTCTCCGGATCGCCACATCTCATTTGTCGCCAGAGAAAATACTGTGACTGGGTTTTTTTCCTTCCCCCTGTCTCATGACAGGGTCCTGACCTACTCGCCCAAGTAACTGAACACGATTCTTAGATCTTTCAAGAACCAAACTGCTGGCCACTTCAGACTCATGTCTTACAAACTGATGAAACACCTGTAACACAGGTCTTCGGTTTTTCTTACGATCTATCTTTTTTAGATTTGTCCTGGTGCGCAGCGGGCCGACCGCGGCCCCGCTCCCGGCTCGCTTCCGGCGGGCAGAGCCCGCAGAGCTCGCGATAGGCGAGGGAAAACAGGAAGCCGATGGTGTCCGCCGTGGAAGTCATATAAAATGATTAAAATACAAATGTATCTATAGTGACAAAGCAATGGAGCCAATTGTGGTGTACACTTGTAATCCCAGCACTCTGGACGGAGGCAAGAGAATCCGAAGTTTAATGTCTTTTGGCTACAGAACAAGTTTGGGGCCAGACTGGGATACATGAGACCCTGTCTCAAAGAAAGCAAGCAGTCAGAAGTCAGGCATGGTGGTACATGCCTGAAATCGCAGCACTTGAGTAGGTAGGAAGGTCAATGCAAATTTGAAGCCACCTGGCCCATATAATGGGTTCTAGCTCATCCAGGACCACACAGTAAGATCCCATTTCAAAACACAAGCAAATGGCCTGGAGAGATAGCTCAGAGGTTAAGAACACTGACAGCTCTTCCAGAGGTCCTGAGTTCAATTCCCAGCAACCACATGGTGGCTCACAACCATCCGTAATGAGATCTGGTGCCCTCTTCTGGTGTGCAGATATTCATGGAAGCAGAATGTTGTATACATAATAAATAAAATCTTAAAAACAACAAAAAAAAACAGAGCTAGTTCCAGAACAGGCTCCAAAGCTACACAGGGAAACCCTGTCTTGAAAAACAAAGAAAAGAAAAAAGGAAGGAGAAGGAAGAAAGAGAAAGAAAGAGAGCAAGGGAGAAAGAAAGGAAAGGAAAACAAGACCAAAAAAAGGCACTTCTTGTCACACAAAATCTGGCATAAGTAGGTAGAGTTTGATTGTGAAGCAGTGATTTTTCCTAAGAGCAACCTTTTGACATTTCTTCTGACTTCATAGAATGCTTTCTAAATGTTTTATGTCCCTAGCAGTATTGTCACAGACGGTTTTTTGTTGTTTTGGTTTTGGTTTTCTGAGACAAGGTTTCTCTGTTTAACAGCCCCAGCTGTCCTGGAACTCACTATGTAGACCAGGCTGGCCTCGAACTCAGAGATAACCTGCTTTTGCCTCCTGAGAGCTGGGATTAAAGGCATGTTCCACTTCTGCCTGGCCTTGTCACAGAGTTTTAAAGATACAATATTTGCCTCTAAAGTGGTCTTTAATATTTCACTGTCTGCGAGTTCATCAGACTCTACTGTGGAGCACTGCATGTTTGTATAAAGACTCCCTCCCCCAGGCCCATAATGATGAGAGCTAGAGTTTTCTCATAAAGAAGAAACAGGGCAGCAAGCACAAGAAGGCAAGAGGCTGGGTCCACCTCAGCAGCAGCATTGTGCAGTCACAACCTCCCTTTGTTGCTAAGCAGCAAATAGCTGGCCTCTTGAGATTCTCTCCTCAGATGTAGCATCAAAGACAAGAGGAAAGTTTGCCTTTTTGCCTCCCTTCGTGGAAGGATGCGAGATGCTTTAATAGGCTCCTGGGTAAGAGTTAGTCTTTGTGAGTCATGAGGGTAAAGGGAGGTGTCACCCTGCATCTGCATCTGCATCCTGGTGGGCAGAAGCCTTGAGCTGCCCTCTCCTCCCCCTCCAGACCGCCACACCCCTGTAGTCTGCCTTGCTCCCTGCTCTCCTGCTCACCAGTGAGCCTCTTATTCCTCTAGCATCAGTTCTTCATTGGTCCTCCCAAGCTCCATCAAACCTTCAGGACTAACTGCTCTCTAATTTGGCAACATCAGGATATCAGTTTTTTAAATCTATTTCCTGGGCTCATCCCCCATGCCTGGAACATAGTGAATGCTGTTGAACTCAAAATATTGTTAAGCTAAACTGAGTAATGAGTGAGAGGGTGTCCACAAATAGTACAGGAACAGGTAGACAATTAAGGTGCAAATCTTCAGTGAAATGGAAGGAGATGTCAAGGAACCCACTGTTATGGCTGGAGGCCAGCTTGAGCTGGAGGCTCAAGCCAAGCCCCTCTGCTTAGGGTTATAATTATGGGGGATGTAGTTCTTCAAAAGGACTCAATACAAAAGGGCATGTTGGTGGCGCACGCCTTTAATCCCCGCACTCGGGAGGCAGAGGCAGGGGGATCTCTGTGAGTTTGAAGCCAGCCTGGTCTCCAGAACGAGTGCCAGGATACGCTCCAAAGCTACACAGAGAAACCCTGTCTGGAAAAACCAAAAACCAAAAACAAACAAAAAGGGCCGGGCCATAGAGTGTCCACCTAATGATATCAGCACAGAACAGCCCTTCCACAGGGACTTACGTTTTAAAAATGTATTTTTTGTTTTATGTGTATGAATGTTTTTTCTTCATGTATGTCTGTGTGCCTGGTGCCCAAGGAGGCCAGAAGATGGCATCAGATTCCGTGGGACTAGAAATGTAGATGGTTGTGAGCTGCCATGTGGGTTCTGGGGATCAAACTCAGGTCTTCTGGAAGAACAATCAGTATTGTTAATTGCTGAATTATCTCTTCAGCAATATATATATATATTCTACATGCATATAGATGCATTTGGTCATTTAATCCCCCTTTCTCTTTCTCATCCTATTGACTACCCTGAACCCCTTCTGTTTCCAACATGGCATCTCCTACTTTCTTTATCTTTTTTTCTTTTTTGAGACAGTCTTCCACTGTAGCTTGGGCTGGCCCTGCCCTTGCTATGTAACTCAGTATAGCCCTGAATTCACATTCTCCTCCCACCTCAGTTCTCCCCACTGCTTAAATTACAGGTATGAGCCAGCATGCCTGGCTAACAAGAGCTTAGTTCTGGTTTTCTGTCAGTACCTTCCTCTGACTTATATCTGGAGGTTCGCTATTGGTTATATCTTCTGTTGGGAAAGTTTATGTCTTGCTTGAGTGCCCCATGTTCAGGGGTACTCATTTTTGCCCCAGAATAACAGAATGTATGGTAAATGAGTGTTCACAACCTTGCCAATAGGTTCAAAAGAAATATCTGTTGGATTCTTGGTTCTCAGGGACCCTTTACCCATTATTAATATTGTAGGGAGAGAAACAAGGGGGACTTACTCTCAGATCTAAAGGAAGCAGCACCCTACTCAACAGTAGCTTTGCCTACAGAAGTATGTTCTTACTAGATGATGTCCTTTGCATTCCATATACACATAGCCTGCATAGATCCACATATTGAAGCCACTTGTCCCAATGAAAGATGGGAACAACTCCGTGCTGGCCCCAAACCAGGAGTGTTTTTTCTCTTCAAATTCTCTTGTCAGAAACGTTCTTGGAACCCAGGGTAAGGATTTAAGTGGGCTTGACCATATTTTTCCCTCCTTTGTTGTAGTACAACAGTGGCTTCTACGGGCACTATCGAGGCCAAGTCAAGAGCGAGAGTGCGGGAGAATATCGCCTTGCAGCCAAGCCCCCTCCCCCAGCAGTGTTCCTGCAGAGATGTGAGGTAAGAAGCACCCCAGCACCCCGAGGGCAGTGGGAAGGAAAGGGTTCTTCCTGCCTCTATGAGATCCCAAGCACCATCTCAGCCCTTGCAGAGACAGACCGACAAGACAGGCACCTGGGAACAGCCTATCCCTGGGATAGCACAAGGTCTGGAACCTTGTCCTTGAGATCAGATCGCTACCAAAAGGGTAGAGAAGAGCAGGTACCAAAGTGAGCAGTTTTGTTTATGAATCCTTCGGGATGGGAGAAGGCTCTAAGTCAAGGTAGAGTGGGTGGCAATGGGGAATAGAGCCTACAAAACTGAGGAAGCAATCCTTGAATTTTACTGAACTTCCCTTAACTTCAGATTCTTTGAGGCCACAAAAATCCACAACTAGCCTCCCAGTCCTAGGACTTGGGCATGAGTAGGAAGCCTCCTTTTAGTTGGCAGGTGGTGGCTGGTACCAGCCCACGTACCTGGCTAGGGAGGATTGGGAAGGACAGGAGCATAGGTGGCTTAGAATAGCAGAAACAGGATTCAAGAGCATAGGAGGAGCATGCAGGGCCAGCCCTCCACCGTTTTCACACTCGTAGACAAGGAGGTGTGTACACACCAGTCAGACTCACAGCATTGAAAAGCACAGCCAAAATAGGAAAACTCGGGAGTATTTGTGTACAAAAGCAGCAGCTATGGAGGCCTCGGTAAAAGATGGTCTCACAAGATTTTGTTTAGAGGATAAGATTCGAAACAAGGTCTCATTCTGTAGCCCAGGCTGGCCTAACTCATCAGGTATCTCAGGCCAGCCTTGAACACACAAGAACCATCCTGTTCCACCTGTTCAAGTTCTCTGATTACACCCAAGAGCCATCACATCCACCTGTGTCACAGCCAAGTGTCTGGGGTTGCTTGTATATGTCTGTAATCTTAGCTACACAGCAAGATTCTGTGTCAAATACACAGGCTGGGGATGTGGCACAGTTGGTAGCATGCCTGACTATGGAGCTTGAAGCCATGGATTTGATCCAGAGCATTGAATAAACAAGGCACATGCCTATAATCCCAGCATACGGGAATATCATATATTCAAAGTTTTCCACAACTTTACAGTGTGTTTGAGTCCAGCTTAGGGTGTGTGAGACTCTGTCTCAAAACAAAACCGAGCAAGCAAATAAACAAAAAGCTGGCAAACGGCCTTTACTGTTACCCCAGAAGAGCCCAAAGGGATGGGGCAGCTAGAATCCAGAAGAGAAGGATAGGTGTGCAGTGAGGAGCCCGGAAAGAATCAACGCTCCTGAGAACAGAAGGGGGTAAGAAACATCCCCCATTTTCCTTGTCTCCTCCCAGGGCTTCAAAGTGGCCATGTACAGACTAGTCTGCTCCTAATCCAGGGCAGGGAGGAGGGTAGCCCAGAGAAACACACTCCACCCACTATAGCTTCTTGTTCACCAGTCTTTTGCCAGGTCCTCTAAGATTTGCCATCTGCTTCTTCAGAAGCTGTTTTCTCAGGCCGACAGCAGGGTCTTAGAGGCTGCTGTATCTCTTCACATTCTTAGCATCTCCAGCTGGAAGGACTTACTGGCAATGCTTACAAAACCAGGCCCAAAATGCAGCTTCAGATTGCCCATCAGCACCCTCGTTCCTTTTGAAAGAGTGATGAAGCCGGGTGTGGTGGCATACACCTGCTGTCCCATCACTTGGAAGGTGAAGTCAGGAAGGTCAAGAGTTCAAAGACAGCCTTGCTACATAATGAGTCCAAGGTCATTTTGTCCTAAACCAAAGAGAGAGAAGGGAAAACTGAGAGCTAGTGGTACAGAGGCAGAAACAATCCAGAACCTTGCTGCTGGACTTTTACAATATCCCTCAGGCAGCTCTCATCCCAGAGAGCAAACATTCTCTTGATTTGTTAAACCCATCCCTCAAGAACAGACAGATAGGAGACTTGTTTTGGCTGATGATCCATTTGAAGACTTGAGGCATTTTCTGGCATTATCAAATACCCAAACAGCTTGATCTGTATGTATTGCCTTGGGTTGAATAAATGTCAAGTCTCATGGCTCTTCCTCAGTCTAAGCCTATTTTAATTAATAGGACTGCCCTGGGAAGGTGCATATTTTACTCCCATTGGCTGATTGCAACTAGTGTTGTTTGTTTAAAAGCCTTCCCGAGATGTGGCAACCCTTTTCTCCAGCTTAGAGCAGGTGAAAATGTCATCTATGACATCTGGGTATGGGGAAAATTCTGTTTTTTCTTCTGTTGTTTTCCTTCGAAACCAGATGGATTTATTCTAGTCTTTACCTGCCTGGCCCTTGGGAACTGTAATATCAGTCCTGTTTGTTCCCAGAGTCAGACAAGAAGAGTCACACGTGGATGGAGCAGGTCCTTTGGCTGCAGAGCTGTGTCCCTGCTGCACCCTTTGTCTACACCCAACTCAGAGGTTCCTCCCTGAGAACTCGGCTGACTTGACACTGTCAGCTTCTCCAGGACACTTAGCTCTCTCACACGAGAACACTGCCTCTTCCCAGCAAAACCTGTCTTCCTCCCCAAGGCCTCTTAATTAAGAATCATGTCTCTAGTCCCACCTGCTCAGATACCATGGGCACCTCAATAAGAGAGAAACCTAAATGGTTAAAGAGACAAGAAATGCATCTGATACTTCTTCTGAAGGAGAAGAATACCCAGAACTGCCTGGGTGGAGAGGAAATGACTCTTGCTCACCAGGCTCTTATAGTTGTGAGAGAGCAAAACTGGAATCAGTGGGAGTCAATAAATTATCCTGCCACTGTAGGAATAATGAGTTTCCAGTCAGAGCTGTCTCTAACAACAGCAATGTTCATTCTAGGCTGTGTATGACTCTGCCAATGAGAATAGAGATGGGAGAAACCTAGAGGTCAGTTGGAACTTGTCCTAGGCATCCAGATTGTGTGTGTGTGTGTGTGTGTGTGTGTGTGTGTGTGTGTGTGTGTGTGTGTGTGTGTGTTGTTTCTCAGGACAGCTATCTACCTTGAGACAGGGCTTTCTCTGGGACTTGTGGTTTGCTAATTCAACTAACTCTGAATATACTCCATCATTTATCCTATGCTGGTGAGTTCAAAGTTTTATAGCCGATTTACTTTCTATAAAAATAAGGAAAACTGGGCCAGGCAGTGGTGGCACGCGCCTTTGATCCCAGCACTCGGGAGGCAGAGGCAGACAGATCTCTGTGAGTTCGAGACCACCTGGTCTACAGAGTGAGTTCCAGAACAGCCTCCAAAGCCATAGAGAAATCCTGTCTCAAAAAACATAAATAAATAAATAAGCAAAACTGTAACTATAACTATTTAATCTTCAACCCCATCAGAGACCCAGGAAGGATATAATATTGCCTAATTAAACAAGAAGTGCAGAGCAAGCAACTTCTAAAACAAAGAAAAACAACAGAGGCATCTGGCTGCTGCCTGGACAATCACCCAAGGTTCCTCTGCAAAATTGGGGCATCCATCTTCAGTCCCCAGGCTTAGAGTATCTGACAGACTTTTCTGTGAAGCAGGAATTTCAAAGGACTTTCCTAACTTGTCTTAGCAAAGTTCAGTAGTGGCTTTCTTTTGCGTCCTGCTTGTACAGTTTAGACAGCATTCTGCCAGCAGTGGAGGCAAAGGCAGTTTCTTGCTACAATGAAAGCAAAACTTTTAAGTAGATTGGTGCTGCCAGGAGCAGACCCATCTCACTGTCATGAAAAGCCTTATGTTATTAAAACACCTTGGATGCCATACTGTGTAGCTCTCTGAAGTGTTTGAAGACCATCTATCTATCTAAAATATATCTCTATTTGACCTTGAAAACTTACCTAACATGACTACAAGTTTGCCATAGATGACTTGCCACTAACCCGTATTTCTTTATTAGCCTAAATTGTTTTCAAGGACCAAAACTTTACAATACATTTTTAAAATGGGCTGCATAGGTACAATACCTTAAACAATAGTAGAAATATATATACAGTATAACAAAATAACCTTAAGTTTGTATCAATATCCAAAAATCCATACCAATGTAAAATATTTTAGACTAGTGGTTGTTCAACAGTAGACTTAAGGGGGCTGGAGAGATGGCTCTTGAGGAGGACCCAGGTTCAATTCCCAGCACCCACATGGCAGTTCACATGTGCCTGTAACTCCAAGATTTAATACCCCCACATAGACATACATGCAGGCAAAACACCAATGCAAATAAAAATAAATAAGTAATTTTTTAAATAGACTTAACAATCTACTCTTTTATTACATAATTTCTATACTATACCCCCCCATTTTTCCCTTCAGAAAGAAATCCCTAAATAGAATCTTCTGTTCAACTTTTTTCCTGACTATGGCCAGTAATAATTTGTGGCCAACCCTCCTAAGTGATGACAAATATCCATAACCCACCAAATGACCAAAAACCACCCATCACCTCTTGGGAATGTGGGCATCGTGTTCTCTAGGCTGTTTCCTGTTGGGGGGGTGGCAACAGCATCCTTAGGGGACCCTGAAAAAATTGGGATAATGGTCAAGTCCTGGGAGAGCTGGTTGTATTATTTTTTGTTTAGTCTCTGATGGGAAAGTGTAAGGCTTATCAGAAGTCTTAGCTGGATAGTGTGTGAGGCTGAACCATCTCAGTTAGCAGCTTTGAAGTTGTTCTGGTTGCAGAATTTTTGAGGAAACTGCAACAGAGGCATTCTGAGAGGCTGTATCACCTGGGCCACTTTATTAGTGTCTGGTCCTTAAAAAAAAAATTTTTTTTTTTTAGGTTTTTCGAGACAGGGTTTCTGTGTAGCTTTGGATATCCTGGCACTTGCTCTGTAGACCAGGCTGGCCTCAAACTCACAGAGATTCCCCTGCCTCTGCCTCCCGAGTGCTGGGATTAAAGGAGTGTGCCACCAACACCCAGAGGAAAGCATAAACTTTTTAAAAAAGATTTATCTATTATGTATACAGTGTTCTGCCTGCACATATGCCTGCAGGCCAGAAGAGGGCACCAGATCTCATTCAAGAGGGTTTGGGCCA